CCCCCTCCGACAAAACCCATAACAACAAATCAGCCAACACTAAACTGAAACAGGGAAAAGAATCATTTCTCATCCAAAACTACAGAGATCTTGTTCTGTAAAGATAAATCAAAGAAACTATGATCGCAACCATTTTGAGCACCTTAAATTAATCGGTTCCAGCATAATTGTTGATATAATAGATCCAGCATCATATAGTATATAGTAACAGCAAGTAACTAAGGATTTCTCAGCTTTGTTCACAAAATTCAGATGATTTGGGACAGGCTGCTAAATGACATTCTAAACAGCTTCTTTGAACGAAGTCTGAAAGAGTGTTTGAGAAAAAAAATTCAAACATGAAACAGATTGTTTCTCAACTGTGACTGAGAGTATCTGGAGATTTGAACCACAGAGTGCGTTCGTAGCTTATATTTAGATAACAGTTTGACTGGTGAAGAAAGCAGCAATGAGGGAAGTCACAGACCTAACCCTGACAGTGGTGGGACAGGTAAATGATTCGCCAATAGCCTGGACAAAGAGTACTTTATGTGATGTCCATGTGGTGCAAGTAGTCTAGTGGTTAGGCTGTTGGGCTCCCAACCGAAAGGTAGTGGGTTCGAACCCCATCATTGGTCAGACTTTGTGTTTTGGGGAAAAGCACTCTGTATCATTTTTCATCACTTCACTCAGGTGGGAATGCGTACCCTGCTATGGAAAGCATAAGATCTAATTAAGTTGCTAGTAATGAGTGCTTAATTGGCTGCCTGTACTGTATGCTTCTTGGAAAGCCTAGAATATTTCTGAGTATGTTAGGATCTTCTGGGATACAGATAATTGTAAAGTGCATAGGGAACGCTGCATAGCATGGATAGGTGCTATTTAAAGGCAAATATGATCATTATTACTTTGTCATACCATTTTGCTACCTTTGCTATGCAAAATGTCTTTGCAAAACAGCTAAAGAGATAGAGGTTTAGGCCATTTTGGAATCAGTAGCCCAAAAGCATGGATTAGGGAAGTGATCATTGACAGGATTAATTTTCATGTAGCCTGTTTTATCTTAGCTCATAATGGCAGAAGAAAGGGGGAACAGCAAAAGACACCATCACATTGCAAAAACAATAATGAAGACTACATAATTTTTAACAATTTCAACGTCTGTAGCTTCAGAATAATACTAATACTGCCTCCCATCCCCAATACTCTCTCTTTAACTTAAAAATGCCATCTCTTCGTGTCAAAACATCTACAGCAAAACATTGGTGAACGGTTGTTTAAGAAACTGTCACCTTAATCACCCATCTTCACCATGTGTTTTATACGGATCTAAAACTTACTCTGGTAGATCAAGTTAAAAGTTTGAAGAAAGTTTTCTCATGAATAAATTGAAGTACAAAATAAATCCCAGTATAAGAAACAGCTGGACTGATGTGTACAAAAGGCAGAAAAAGCCAAGTTCAGATGATGACTGTTAAATAATTTCTTCCGTCAATCAGAGCTGCCTCCACATCTACAAATTTGAACACAAGTAAGGCAAGAAAATTCCACTGAAGGCAAAGTTCAGTGAAACTACACGGCAGAGAACTGTTGAAATGCATATGAACAGTTTTGCGACAAAATGTGACAAACGCCACTTTCGAAGTTTAACCGTAACTAGTACCTTCATATATCTAGAAAGGTGGGGCACATTCCAGAGTCAACTTTTTTCCCCCACCAAACTTGATTTTTTTTCATTAAAAAACTGAAGAAAGATGACCATCTTTTATACAAAAGCGGCTGCCTTTTTTTAGACAAATGGTGACATAGCCTCTGCGTGCCAATCAAGTTTCTTTTCCTCAAGTCCCGTGACTTCGCTTGTGGTTGATGAAAACTTGTCAGCTGTTCTTTCGCTTACTTACTGTATTTATGTGGATATGTCGAGTTTTTTAAAAAAATTTGTGGAAATCTCATCAATAAGAATACAACATAGACTTCATCAACGAGCAAATACCAATTAAGCCTTGCATCATGTTTACTCTAAAACCAAAGTTGCTCAGGATGATGAAGAATAGAAATCTTCAATTTTCTCAAAACCAGCAAAAGGATATGTTGCATTTTCTGAAGAAACTGTTCATACGTATTTATAAATATGTGAGTATGAGTGTGCGTGTGTGAGCGCATGTGTGCGTCTGCGACTCTAAGGAAACTTGTCAGAAGGTGAAACTTTTGAAACTGACATTTTGGCATTTATCTTTCATGAGCATTTTGCACTTTACTCAGACGTCATTAGACTAGATCTTATTTGTGAAGTGAGAGCCCTTCAAAATAGGGTCTGAAGGAACATTTTTTGGAGAAGAGCTTTGAAACTGTTCAAATTCAATGATAAGGGTGCAAAAACAAATGAAACAAAAGAAAATATTCCATTTGACTTTTTTGATACACAACATTCAGGCGCGTAAGCTTTCCCCTGGAAAGGATGTAAAGTTCTTTTTTGTTTGGGATGCTACAGTTCATAAAAAAATTAGTGTTTATCTGGGTAAGAAATATGTAGAATAGTGATGATCAAAATCCTTTAAAGTTTAAGATTTAGGAAAGGCATTCCTCTTTTGACATTTCATAAACCTTTGAGATAGAAATAAAGTTCCCTGTCTATTCTTAATGATATTGATATCTCAAAGTAAACTCTTGCCTCTTCTGACACATTTTCTCAGAGGCAGACATATATCACATATATATATAACATAAAGCTACCTTATTGGGATCAATCATACATTAATATCCATCTAAAATTAGATCTCACTCTTTGAGGAATGGGAAATGACTCACGCTTTTTTCCTAAACTGATGTTGATAGCATTGTAGATGAATAAGTCCGGGTAGTATGGTAGGAGAGGCAGAACAACAGGATTTCACAACAGAACTTTAAAATATTCAATAAAGCTTAAAGAAACAGGAAGAAAAAAAACTGGGTGCCCTCAACCCTATTGAAACACTGAGTGCAGTCTTTTCAAGACTTGGACTGAGAAATGACGAAAAGCTTGCATTTATCTTTAGGCAACAGGATACTTCCATAAATGTATGAGCACTCAGTTTGTCGAAAAAGAAGAAAACAGACATTCATTTGTTTTCTTTCACATGCACACAGCAGGAAAGAATTAATTTTTTCACAAAAATGCAACTTCATCAAGCATTTTCAGTAAAAAAATTAAATAAAACAAGTGACAAAAGAAAAAAATATTCAAAGACTAAATGGCTGTAAAAGGTTGAGAAGAAACCATCAGTGTTAAGAAAAGTAAAAATACAGTTCTCCACTAGCCAAGTAACCAATACAAACAGTGAAGATTGCCTCAAATTTTAATTCGGTATCACAACTTCTAACTGCTGGTGCCCACCACATTCCAGACAACATCACAGTTTAATTTCCGCCACAAAGTTTCTATTGCTACCTCAATTCAATCAGCAAGAGACAACAAAACACATCTCACGATGTTTTGTATCAACAGCCCAACTATACATAAATATCTTGGAATGAAAGCTGTGAATATGGATGCTTGTTGTACACATTCTACATGAAACTGAAACATATTAAAAAAAGAGATATCTATTCTAATACGGTACTTTTTTTTCACCATAATATATTTCATTCTCCTATTGACCTGATTTAAGCTGTTTAGAAGGTGGTCATGTCCTACATACACCTGGGCTGAGATGGATACAACATCCCCGCGAACTCGCATCTTCTACATGTAACAGAGAAAAGCTTAACCACAGACGCTGGTTATGAATACCTGTTCACATTCTTGAGTATAAGGACGAAAAGAGACATCTACTTAATAAATTCAGTTGAATCAAATTTACAGTATAACAGTGAAAAAACCCCAACCCAAGTTGGTTGGCACTAAATGAAATCCAATCATCAAATGGCCTACTGTGCAGTGTGCAGAGGGCCAGGACGGAAAGGCGTGGAGATTATTTGATTTACAGACTTCCCAGAAAGTCATATTAATTTTCATTAGGATATAAAATAATGACATTCTGGACATTCACATACAGAGAGTCAAAACTAATAGACAGTGCAGATAATTTGGTTAAAAATACTGCGATTGTGAGACAGTGGTAAATATGTTTGTTCCATTACCAATTTTTCACCCAAACAAAAAAATGAAAATGTTTTCTAATTTCTTCAATAGAACTAAATTCTAGTGTTCATACTCAGAATCTTAAAGCTTTTGTTGCCAGGAGGTGTATGTTCCTACTGTCAGTGCGGAATTTCAGCTAAGCTCCCATATATTTCAGCTAAGCTCCCATATAGTCGTAGTCATAAGGCAACAGAGAGGTCAAACCGTTTGTATGGTAGTTACAGAAGTGGCAATTTAGTTTACACCACACATCATAAGTTTTGAGACTGAAAAATATTTTAAATTCCAGTACGACAATATAAAGAACAGTGAGAAACAAGGTAACATGGCTCTATTGACAGTAAAGGATCAATACTGGAAAGCATGGCAAGCATACAAAATTCTACTGAACCTGAAAGCATTGATCTAAGAAAAGCCACAGAAACCACCAGACTGCTGCAGCAATGTTGCAAATGAAGCTAAAATCAAAGCCACTAGGATACAATAGAGCAGCAGATTCTTCTAGTGCAATATTATAAAATGTACTAACTTTTCCTCAGTTTGGTACTACAGCCCTATTTCATTTTATTTCTTTATGATACATATGCGAAAAAGGCAGTACAAATATAGATATATGCACAGGTTTCGTTTGGATGATGAACAGATTTAGCCCTACATTCATGTTATCAAGCTGACTTGCTGAAAACAAAACCCAACAAAGACAACTCGCTACCGCAGAATTACAAAGTTTTACCAGGCATTTTTGGCTGTTTGAAGTTACTAAGACCATGAGGTAAAAACCCCAAAAGTTCTATCTGCTCTGTCAAAATCGTAAGAGTATTTTGGGTTATTATCAAAATATTCAATGAACTGCATTCAAAAAAGCTTCACATGATGTGAAGCTCAAAATCTTTGACTTTGACATCAAATGTGTCAAAACTAGGTACTGAGAATAAAGAACTTTGTAATTTTGAAGTAGAGAACGGTCTTCCATTACAATATGTGGGATAATAAATTGGATCAATACACATTGCTCTCAAAGAAGCAATGAATAAAGGCCAAATATGATGGCTGGACTGAAACTACAAAGAGACCAAGAGAAAAAGCATTGTAAAGAACACTGGTTTACAGCGTAAGTATATTTAAAATAACTGAGAGTGCAATACATTTTGTGCGATGGTGAATCATGAAAAGCACTTCAAAATGGAAGGAAGAAAATAGAAGGAAACTTTGATCAAGTTGAAAATCAGATAACCACATGCATAGTACACAAAATATGAACACTTGACAACTTTCATCTTAAGATGAACTGCAATACTGGGGATCTATCTAATCTTAAATATTAAGCGGAGAGTGTTTTGAACATTTATCAATTTAGGTAAAAGTAGAGGCAGCCATTGACAGTTACGGTACCCTGTAAAAGTGACTTAGATTTTAATCATTGTTCCTTTGTGGTGACTTGCAGGAAGGAGTGAACTGTCAAGCACTTTACGATGATTATTGCGGCAGTTATAACACCTATAGATAACAACAAAAATGGAACCACAATCACATTTTGCTGAAATCTTTTTTACTTAAATTTACTTAAATTGAAATTATTGTCTTCTTAAACACTTGACTCTTGCCATCCCTATGCAGGACTGCGTAGTCAAAGTGTAATTCTAAGAATAGCATTGAAAAAAGTATCTGTACACATACACCCACAAAAAAGAAAAAAAATCTAAAAAATATAAGTGTAAAAAAAATTTCAGACAAACGTTAAACATAAGAATGAAAAAAAAGCATGTGTGTACAACTTTTAATAAAAAACAGCAGTAGAGGAACATTTCTCCGGTGAACAAATTTATTCTTTAAAATATATGCGGCCTTTGAGTGAAAAATAAAGTGGGTTCTCAACTTGTAATATGAGGCTACATTTGTACAAACTTGTGAAAAATAAAGGCAAAAATGTGAGGACGGTTGATAAATTGCTATCACAACACTGGACAGATTAAAAACCTCTCCACTTTCAAATGCAAAAATTGTAGGTGGAAGAAAAACTCAAACTTACTATGATGTAAAATCAAACATCACATGTCTATGGAGAGAAGGTGATTCAGTGAAACACTCAGCACAAACGTACTCAACAAAATCAACAGTATTCACTTGAAAGAGAGAAAAAGAGAGACAGAAGAGAAAGAAAGAGGAAACAGGAAAATGGAAAGAAAAAAGAGACTGAAAAACAGAAAGAGTTAAGAAGAGGGGAAGGGGGAAGAATATTGTATTTAAGCAAGAAATGATGTGAAAAACAACAGAAATGCAACACATGAGAAAGACTGCAGACAAAAATCAGGAGGCATTTACAAAGCTGATAATAAAAAAGTAGAGAAAGTAGGAAGGTTTAAAAAAAAAGCAAAGAAAAAACCCCCAACAAACAACACAAGAAGTTTAGAAACAAGCATTTATCAGTTGAACTCAGAACTGCGAGATTCATGCGCTACGGTTCTGGCTGCTTCAGGAACAGCAGCATTCTCCACAGCCAGGGTGACTATTGACGCCTCTGTTTTGGACGGCTTGGCCTTCTGCCGGTGTTGTGAGGTGGAAGAAACTACCTGGTGGACTAATACAGGGTGGGAAAGGCTGCCCACGTTCACAGCTGATGTGGACGAGGCAGGAATGGGTGGGAGAATGGGTGCTTGCTTGACCCCTACGACCTGCACTATTTCCTCCTTTGGTGGAGGCAAAAACGGCGTGATGTCTGGAGATTCTGAACCACTGCTTCGGCCGGAGCTCATACGAAGGGGGTTGTGCTGCCTGCCCAACAAAGCATCGGCACTGGACGGATGAGACGGGGCCAGAGACTTCCCGGACACGCCCCCACTCAAGACAGAACGGTTGTGGCCAGATCTACGAATACGAGATGAGGCAGAAGCCGGGTCGAGAGTTTTCTCCTTTGAGGGTGGGGTGGGCATGTGGTGATGGGGGTGAAGAGAATTTTTAGCAGAGAGAGTGGAGTCTCGGTGCAAATAACCTGGCTGAGACATTGCACCCTGACCCATCGAATGTCCCATTTGTACATTTGCCGAGTACCCAGTACCTTTTCCGTTGTCGCTCGGATCATTTGCCTGCTCGGCTTTTCCTTTCTGTTTCAGACGGTGGAGCTCTGTTGTGAGATATGCAATGTTGTTTGCTTTCGCTTCCAGCTCTGCTCGGAGAGAGTTCATAGTTTGAGACTGTGCCCTGCTCTCGTCTAGCCATCGTTTCCTCTGAGTCCTCGCCTCAGCTTCAAGTCTCTCCACACGTTTATCTCGTTCTGAAAGTTCTTTTTCGAGGGTCTGGATTTTTGTTCTGGAAGATTCAAGCTCCTGCTGTACTTGTTGCATCTGAGTGTCGATGGTACCTGAGGACAAACAAACAGAAAACAAACCTACTTACATTTTAGAAAGAAATCCATTTGCTCTGGTCATGACTTTATAGTGCTTAAAGGTTGAAATTCGAAAACATCTCAACCCTGAGGTTAAAGATGCCATGTAAGTTTTCAAAAAATATAAGTTGGAAAAATTTAGATTACTCTGAATCTGAACCCTCTAGTTCACCTTTGCACCCAATATAATGCATACCACTCAAGACATATGTATATATATATAGTGAAGTCCACTTATAACGAGTCTTGAAATAACGAGAAGTTTGTTATAAAGACATTATTCTAAAACCCACTTTTTTTTCCTTTTTTATCTTTGTAAATAAAATACCGCTATAGCGCAATCAGATAAAAGCGCGAGTTGGTCATAGTGGAATATTCCTGCTGTTGTGCACAGCGTATAGGCCAATGTAAAACCTTGCCAGCTGAGAAACTTGTTGGTGATCTAGCGAAACAAAGAATGGGACAGCCCATGTGCGCCAACGATGAAGTGAAGGCTGGAGCGAATGAGAGGGGAAGGTATGGCATGCGCAGACAAGCCGTTGTGAAGCAAAACACATTGCCTGATAGTGATAGGCCAGTCTAGTCTAGATTATCTAGGCCTATCATGCCTGTCACTTCTCCGATGCGGCGATGGAGAGGTCACAGTACTGTGATGAATATGGAGGGAATGTGTGACGTGCGCAAGCAGACGCGGGAATGCACCACAGGGTGTGGTGGGGCGGGGGAAAACACAGTGGGCGAGTTAGCCTAGAGAACTTTTCGTTCTGATCGCCAACACCGAGCTGTCAACATCGCTAACGCTAGAGAAAGAAACCTGATTCGATTTTTGATCAAATAAGACCTAGAGGTCATGTTGAGCAACACCATCATCAGGGGCGATAACAAAAAGAAATGAAGAGAGCACCAAACTCATGGATTAGGCCTAATTCATTATTTCCTTTGAATTTATTACTGGATCCTTTATAACGAAAATCCTGCTACAACGGACATTTCGTACCGGTCTCCTCCCTTTCGTTATAACAGGATTCCACTGTTTATATATCTCTCACATATTTGATTTAATGAAGGAAAAGCAATTTGCACTATCTTCTCTGGGTGTCAGTATTGGCTACAGGTCATTATTTGATCACTGCCACGTAAGAACTCGGTCTGCCGTAGAACACGCTTTTTTTATCTCCTGATATCAGACTCTTAGAGAGAGAAAGAGAAAGTGTTAGGGTTTACCACGCCTATCGACACTATTAGGTTATTTAGAGGCAGAAGGGCTCTTGGAGAAGAGATTGTTGTCAATAGAGCTTTGAAGTAAGGTGTTTGGTCATAAGAACATGTTTCAAATCTCTGTAAAATAATAATGATAAGAGGAAATCAAACTTCATGAAGTCAGTTTATTGCACACACAACCAGACACTAGTTTTAAAAAAAAGGAAAAGCTATTCACTTTGACGACATGCACAAGTAATTCCAAAGAACTTAATATTATTTTAACTTTTAAAGAACAACATCAAGATAAACCATTATGAAAATACCACATTATCTCGTGCAACAAAGGAATAAGTAAATGCTGTAAATGGTAGGCCGCGGTCCTTGAACATCTTTTTGGGCAAAGTTCCATTACTTCATCACACTGTGGAATTACTAGACCTAAGAGTATCTTATTTGAGAGCTTTTTCATTAATCTCAATACAATACAAGATGGAAAGAAAAATCTTAGAATCTCACCTGGCTCATCAATAGTTAATCCATTCATCGTCAGCTGGAATGTTAAGTCTGCAACAACAAAAAATAAAAGTGACTGACCGAGAGAGCTCATTTCCAATCAGGTCAAAAACCATCATTGGACCAAAGCATTACTATGATTTACTTTTTGACCACTAAACTAAGTTTGAAACACTAAAAAAATTGTGCAGCAAAATTGTTTCATGAAGTTATCTTATAACATATCAAAATACAGGTTTAAGAACTAGGAAATTATATCATTTTACTTTCACTTAAGTTTTCACATGAAAACCTAGACTGAATTCGAAATCTAGCAGATTAAATGTCAGAGTCCATTTTGCCTTTTCTGTCATTTAACACAATCCTGTGGACTTCATAAATTATGCTATAGAATGATAAAATGTCTTAGTTCTCATTGCAACGCTTTATGCGCTCCCTTTGCTGCCCCCCCCCCCTCCTTCCCCCAATCCTCCTTCTCACAAATCTCCAAAACATACAAACTTATGTATAATGAAAAACCACACAGACCAACTGGAAGAATAGGAAAAAAGGTAAGCCAATATTAAATCAGGATGATTGTAAAAATGAAGAAAGCAAATATTATTTGTTACCTGTACATCTTTTTTGTAGTAAAGCTATTTCTTCATGAAGACCTTTAAGAATAGAAGCATGCTCTTGCTGCATGAAGAGAATAGAACTCTCCAAGTTCCTCTGATGCATAGCTGATTCAGAACTCATCTTTTCGCCTTTTGCCTGCTCTCTGTAAATGATATAAAACAATTCTTAAATAACAGTCTTGAGCAAATGAAGCCAATGCATATTTTCTTAAAACACACAAAGTTTTGATTCTATATTTACAAACAAAGCATCGCAGTAGGCTCAGCTGAGGGAAACACAATAAAAATTCAAAACAGATACACGAGAAACAACTATGAAATGAAAATTATGATAAATCATACACAAAAGAGGGGAGAAAAAAAGCAGTGGTTAGCAATGATACAGTAACTTAATATTTTAGTATCGTGACAAACACAGACTAGATTTATGAGTATCACAATAAAATACACATTTATTGGCTTTGTGAATGATTGGACACTGACTGATGACCGAGATCCCTATTCAGCACTGACAGACTGAGTACCAGACATCATCAGGTTCAAGTACAGTTGAATCTGTCCATAATAATCACTCAAGGACACAAAAATAGCAATGCCAATGAAAATTTAAATTTTCACTTTTGCCCTTTTTTTTTTGGTACCTAAGAAAGAATTTTCAATTCTAAGAATCATGCTTCTTGAATTTTGAGAATCGGTTCATAAATAAAAAAGTTATGGGGTTGTAAAGGTGGGCAAAATATGGATGACCCACATATAGGAAAATACTCCTTAAAAGTGGACCACGCAGTAGCAGATTCTGTAAGAAAATCGACGATATCTTGGTAACTAATCGGAGTGTTCGAGAGAAACTTGGCTACCCGATGTGTTTTTGAGTGTAGAAATAATTTCTGCAGTCAGATTTACTACCAATTTCGTAGTTATTTTGTTATAATTAAAATTGTGGTGTACACATTACGATTTTGCGAAAAAGGGGTGTCGGGATGAGTCCATTTTATTTATAGCATCGTATCACAACATGGGATCTTTAAGAATATATGTCGGCAGCGTGACTAAATAATTGCAAAGCTTTTTATGATGACTTTAGACCATGTCAACCGTAAAAGATAAGTTAATTCAATCTAGCATGCCGTACAATTAAAAATTATTTTTCCCCGTTGAGACGCGAACACCCTGAGACGAGATAACCTCGCCTCGGAATACCCCCATTGCGATGTTACAGGGGAATAGAGAGAAAAACAACCGGATGCGCGCGCCCGCCATTGCCCTATTTCAAGTGACCAATGAACGGGCCCGGAATAGTCATGCGGGGATTTGTAGGTCACATACATTGTCACGAGAGTGAGGGGAAAATGGCCGGTCTCCGTGCGAAGCCGCTTTGGATAGGGGGGTAGTCGTGCATTTATGATCGGGTCTAAACAACTACTTGACACAGAACGTTCAAATCTGAGCACACTATAGAGGATAGATAGATCTATTACCATCTCGGCTTTGAAATTCAAACTCCTTATAGTTTTCGGTGTACACGATACGAAAGTGTTCCCGACACCAAAAGTATAGGTTAATTTATATGTACGAACTTCAACGTCCACATATCATTAGTTTGCCCTATTTTCTGATTGGTTGCCGAGTTTCATTCGGATTGGTTCGGAAATAGAGCAGACCGAGGTTGACAAAATTAGTCACCTACGCTTCGGCCGGGTCTGCAAAATCGCCCGTAAACGGGGACCAAATTTTCGCCTCGCGGGAAAGCCCGATTGGCATTGCTAACACAAAGAAGTCACAAAACAAAACATGAAAAAAATAAACAAAGACTCTGACCCGATCAGCTGGAGGCCACAATTTAAAGATAGATGTCACACTGCATAACATATGATTTAATGACCTTTACTGAGGTCAGCAGTGGTGTATTATTACCGGCTGTTGCTTTAGGTGTAAAGACCAGCAGTGTCGTGCTCGGTTCCTTAGACCATCGTATGCTATTGAATAAGCACTGCAAAATAAGTCTCGCCTCCTTTTTTTCACATGTACATGGACCTTGTACAGCAGACAATATATTTGGGTCAATCACAGTAGTGCAACGTGCTCTCTATAGCTTCATGTGAAGAAAACTTCACTCATTCAGAAATAGTTAAGCACAGCAGGAAAGTGCATGTTTTCACTCAGCCCTGAATAAGTTGAAGCATAGACACATTTGTGACTGCTTCTCGGCTCCTTTGATCATCAATAAAGGTGTATCCCAAAACCAGAAAGGGCCTAGTCTCACCATGACACAGCATCTCACAGTTAAGGCTTTTGTTTAATCTTTCATTCTGCAAAATCAAAGTAAATTATATGATCTAAATCTATAGTAGTCAGCCACAGTTGACAAAACTGGTCTGGTACAAGGATGAATTAATCAGTAATAGGAATGGAATATAGATCTAGTACAGTCTGGCAGTTACAACAGATGTTTTGAAAAATATATTCCAGAGTTTATCACATGAGAATGATGGAGCCTAGATCTAGTAGCCTACTTTGAAATTGAAGTAGACCAGTGATGCAAACAGACTCTACCAGTGAACATGAAAGTGAACAGTAGAAAGCGAGCAAGACTAGAATTTTGATTTTACTACATACAACTCAACTACTAGACTATATCTTTGACGCAAGATAGTCAATTCAAACAGCTTGAGGCAGTGTCGTAAGTGGAAGAAGTAAACATTTCTCAATGTTAGCGTTCAGTCTGGGACTGATTCTGTAGAATTCAGAGAGAGAGAGGTAGGCTATGCATTCGAATCAAAGGTGAAAAAAAAGGAAAAACCTATCACATGTATATTCGTGCAAACGCCAATTACCTAAAAGTTTGAATATGTTGAGCGAACGATCAAAGAAGCAAATCTTCCTGTTACAACAAGACACAACAAAGTGAAATATAGTCAAGCATCTTTCTCCCTGACAACATTGGCGTTCCCGGCGGCCATAGTTATTTGCCCTCACAACAAGAATTTGAGTGCATTGTGGTAGGAAATATTGAAACTGTTCAAAAGAATTTTTTTTTAATTTGAAAAAAAAAAACAATTTTGTGCATCAAATTGATAAATGCTTTAAAAAATTTGAAAATTTTGGTGTATAGTTTCAATAAATATGCAATTGGACAATTTGTTTTGATTTTTGGAAATTCCCGATAAAAGTAAGTTGCCAATGTGGCGTACTGTAAAGTTGTATCATTTAGGTCTGTAATAGAGTAGTTTTGCTTCTTGGATAGATCTAACTTCAAAAATACTTTGTTAGTTATTTTAGAAATCAATAGAATAAGTAAAACATGAAATACAGAGTAGTTTTGATTTTTGATCTTAATTATCACCTGAACTTTCGAACCCATTGACTTATCTGTCACATTTCGGCGCGGATTCTGATTCTGATTCGGATTCCCCTCTGCTGACTGCTGATTTTGCTGAAGAAACTGAAATTTAGATTCTAGATCTAGATTAGACCTTGATCTAGTATTTAATATCTAGATCTAGATTCTAGATTAATATATATAATCTATCTAAATCTAGATCTAGATCTTACACTGAAGATTAGTGATGACTGATGATAAAGGTAGGGACACTCAATACTAACAGTAACAGTCTATCCTGCCTTACAGAAACCTCTGTACTCTGTGTAAAACTGAAAAACGGAAACCTGTCATAAATTTTAAAACGGAATCTCCCCGCTCCCCCCTTGATATATTCCTCTTTAATTACCTGTATAAAACAGAAACCTGTCCAACGGGAAACGGAAATAAAAATCCGCTCCCTTCCGAGGGTTTCACCTGTCTAAGACGGAAAATGCTTTGCCTGCTCAGCCCTGATTTGAAACAAAACTTGCAAGTTTGGTTCCGCCGGCTCTAAACTTAACGCCATGGCCCATGGCCATGCTGCTGGGCGAGGAAGAGGAAGGGGTGCGGTTTGGGGGGAGATGTTGGGTCAGTGTAGTGTGGGTGTGAAATCTCACGCCGAGTTCCTCGAATCATTGTTACAATGATGGCAGTGAGGGGTGATCTGGTGGGTGGGACTAAGGATGGAAGCAAAGATGTTCAAATGTTTCTGTTTTTAATAGGTCAAACAGTGGTCCTATGAAAGGCAAGCACTTGTGATAACTGGATACCTAAGACTGACACATGTCATTATCAGACAGGATAGCAGCTGAGAGGTGTGAAGTTTTGACCACTGCTTGCCGATCGGATAAGCGATCCTTGATCCCTCCGGCTGGGCCTTTGACACCCCCCCCCCCCAACGTCCACCTCCCCCCTTAATTCCCCATCTTTAAAGACGGAAAATGTCTTAGTCTTAGACATAATTTTTTTCCCACTCCCTTGCGATTCCGTCTTACACACAGGTTCGACTGTACTTTATAGGCTACTTTGTTTGAGGCCCGATTTCACGTGTTGTAAAATTAGATCTAATTAAGATCTACATCTACATCTACATCTAGATCTAGATCTAGTGATGGCGAAAATAGATAGAGAATCTAGTCTATCATTCTAGATCTAGAAATAGATAGATCTAATATTTATAATCTAGATCTAGATTCTATGGCCCTTGCCGATAAATTTGCGGCTAATTGTAGGATAGGCCTACCACACTGAATTTCAACAAATACTTAGTAGAAGTGGCTATCCTCACCCGGGGTGAGGATAAAAATACGATCGACCTCTCACCCCGGGTGAGACTTGCCAGCGTTGTGTGAAACAAGACCTGTTTTTCCTTATTTCAGAATACTGTCTGTCAGTGCTGATGATCAGATTGACAATAACAAAGAAAAAAATGACGTTATAGTATGAAAGTAAGCATATTTGGTTGTCTGCAAAGATGCTACATGGCTATTTCACTTTTCGAATTGAGCCGAACTACGCGGATCACCGTTTTGCTTTTCCCAGAAGTTCTCGCAAGATCTCCCCCTCTCTTTTGCACTCTTTTTTTATCGGTGTGGACGATCAAATTGACAAATACAAAGATAAAAAATGATGTTAAAACACAAAAGTACATTAATTTGGTCGTCTACAAAGATGTTACGACTATTTAACTTTTCAAATTGAGCCAAAATACACGGGTCGCTATTTTGTTTTGCCCGGAAGTTCTCGCGCTACCCCTCTGCTCTCTCTCTCTCCCCTCGCCCCCCTCTCTCTTCCCACCCCCTCTCTCTTCCCACCCCCTCTCTTTCTCTCTCGCTGCCCACTGACAAAATGAAAATTGCACGCTTTCAACACAAGAGCGCTGGAACGTTTGTTCCTGGTGAACGCTACACTCGTTGCCTATCACGGTGAAGGCACTCCGGGTGAGAATAGCCAAAAGGCCCGCCTGCGCTATTCTCACCCGGGGTGAGAATAGAGGTGGCCATACTTAGTAGACGTAGAGTAAATCTAACTTAGAGGACAAAAATAATATTTGTCGTAAAAGTAAAGCAAAGTAAGAAAAAGTTAGATCCCGACAGTACAATTAATACTAGTGTACAACTAAAATAGATCTAGGCAATCATGTATGTCAAACAAATTAGGCTACGGACACTAACATTTTAAACACAACTTCATGTGGGTGGTTGATGGGTGCTGCTGGTAGGTCCTAGAGAATCTAGGTATATCTAGTCCTACTTTTTTTCTTTCCCCTCTGTCTCTGCTGCTGCTGTCTGTCTTTCTTCTTTCCCATCTCTATTACTAAATTATGTTATATATTGTCATATTGTGGGGTGGGTGCTTCATTCTTTTTATATATATTCAAACAATTACTTAAGTCACTAGATCTAAATCATATACAGTTCATGCTGATGAGGAGTTAATAATAGCCCTGCATACATACACATTTTTTTTCAGATCGTTTACCCCAGTGACTTAACAGTCTGATTCTATGGTCAGGAGTAAAGCATTATAATAAAAGTAAAGAAGATGGTGAAACAAGTAAAGAAAAAGGAACAGGTAAAGCCAAAGGTATGATTAAGTGTTCTTTGTATCTTCTCTTTCTTCTGCTTTCTTTTATCCAGATCAGAAAGTCTTCATGTTCTTTGTTGTCAGAATGGATCTCTAATCTTTAGGCCTACTTGTAGATCATTGCCTTTCTCACCCTGCACCAGGGTATAGGTCACGGACAAACACGCCTTCCATTTTTCTCTATCCTGGCTAGCCTCTTGATGTTATTCCATGTCTTCCCACTTTTCTGTACATCGATTTTTGTGATTCTTCTCCAGGTTCCACGCGGTCTTCCCCTTGATCTCTCATCCTGTGGGTTCCAATCCAAAACTTTCTTTTGTTATGCAGCTGCCTGACTTCCTGAGAGTATGTCCAATCCATCGCCACCGCCTTCTTCCTACCTCAACTCTGACTGGGATTTGTCTTGTTTTCCTTAACACATCCACATTGGTGACCCTGTCTGTCCATCTGAGCCTCAGTAACTTTCTTAGACATCTGTTCAAGAAAACCTTTATCCTCTTTATGCAAGTCTGTGATGCGTTCCATTTCTCACATCCATACAACAGGACCAACTTCACATTTGAATTGAAAATTCTCAGCTTTGCTCGAAGTGAGATACCTCTGGTCTTCCAAATCCTATCCAAAGACATGAAAGCAGCCTGTGCTTTTCCAGTGCGGGACTTTATTTCAGCGCCTGTTCTTCCCTATCTGTCAATTATACTCCCAAGATATATAGCAGAAGGATTCAGCGTTTTCTAGTGCCTTTCCTTAGACTATTGTGACCTGCTCCTTTCGTTGTCTGTCCTTAGGACCTTTGACTTTCTGCGGTGGATCCTCAATCCAACAGACTCCGATAGGCTGTTTAATACTGAAGTCTTTGCTTGCATCTGTTCCTGGGTGTGTGACAGAAGTGCCAAGTTGCCTGATCGTCCAACTGTGTCTATGGTGTCCACTGTATACCATTTCTGTGTCCTCTGGTGGTTTCCTTCATCAGCCAATATGAAGAGGAACGGTGATAGTAAACATCCCTGTCTCACACCAGTCTTGATGTCAAAGCTGTCAGTCAGCTGGCCGTCATGTCCAACCCTGCAACTTGTCCCTTCGTACATGCTCTTGATGAGGTTCACCAACTTCTGTGGGATTCCGTGGTGTCTCATTATCTAACTTCCATAGTGTTGCTGGGTCTATACTGTCAAAGGCCTTCTCGAAGTCAAGGAAGTTGACAATCAGCTGGGAGTTTCACTCCAGGGACTGTTCCACAATAATCCTTAGCGTGGCAACCTGGTTGGTGGTTGAGCGATTTTTCCGGAAATCAGCCTGTTCATCACGTAGTCTTGGATCCGTTGCTGTCTTGATTCTCTCCAGAATGATTCTGTTAAAGACTTGACCTGGTATTGAGAGAAGAGTGATCCCTCTGTAGTTGTTGCAGTTGCTGAGGTCCTCCTTTTTTGGAAGCTTCACGAGGTGCCCTTCTTTCCAGTCCTTTGGGAACTTGCTCTCATTCCAGATCCCGGTAAACAGTGGGAGGAGGATGTCTGCAGTCACATTAGCATCTGCTTTTAGGGCTTCAGGCGGAATCTGGTCAGGACCGGCTGCTTTACCTTTGTTCAGCTTCTTAATGGCATCCAAAATCTCTTGTTTTGAAGGAGCATCACAGCAGATTGGTAACTCATTTTTTGCTGACAGGATGTTTGATGGGTTACTCGGTGGTGGTCTGTTCAGGAGACTTGAAATGCTTTACCCATCGTTTAGACTGAGCTTCCTTTCCAAAAATGGTTTTCCCCTCTTGGTCCTTTACTGGTTCTTCAGGTTTCCCGTATTTTTCAGCAAGTGTCCTTGTGGTCTGGTAAAGGATTCGCATGTGCCCCCCTACCACTGCTTCCTCTGCCTTCTCTGCCAGCCTGTTCATGAATTCCTCCTTGTCTTTGTTTGTGATTTTTTAACATCTTAAGCTGCTGTCCTGTACTGCTCCAATACATCTGCTCTTGATCCTCTTGTTCTGCTAGCATTCGCTTCTGCCTTCAGTTGTCGTCTTCTTATCCTAATTAAATCCAATGAGTGTCGGCTAATCTATTCCTTGTGCTCCCATTTTTTCACACGGAGTACTTCTTGACATGTTGATGTAAAGACTTTTTTAACCTTGGTCCAGTGTGTATCCACCTTCGTGTCCTCTCCACCAAGATCAGCCAGAGGTTGAAATCTGTTCCTCAGCTGAAGCTGAAACTCTTCTTTCTTGTGTCCGTCCAAGAGATTTACTTGGAACTACGTTCTTTTGATTCCTGTGCTGGTTCCGTGCGTTTTGAGTCGAAGCTTGAGTTTTGCCGACAGTAGATGATGATCTGATCCAACATCTGCCCCTCTCTGTACTTTTGACATCTTCTAGTGAACGCCTGAACCTACGAGAGATACAAAAATGATCTATCTGGTTCTCCGTCACTCTATCTGGTGAAACTTGGCTTCCCTCACAGAATACAATACTTGTTCCCCCGAGCTGAGCTGCTTCTGTCCAGACTGTATCCAGTGTGTTTCGCTGACTTATAGTATATGCTGCCTGTATCTCTTCATCTCTTGTACTACTTGAGAACTCTTTCCTGCTTCATACAAGGTGCGAATATTCCGCGACGCAATCCGGAGAGACTTGTACTACAGAGAAGGTTTCGGGTCAGAAGAGTCCTTTCGGCTTTGTCCGCTGTCCTTCTTTGTTCCTGCTGATGCAGAAGCTCCTCCGTCTCCCAAGATCGAAAAATATAAAGCTGTGTTTGTCCATGTTTCTGTAACTTACTGTTTTTTACTGGGTTGGGTAGTTGGCCCTCCGCAAACTGGCACTTTTCGGGTGACCAGACTTTTGCACTTTTAGTCTTCTTTTACGACACGCAGTATCACGGCAGGTGTATTCTTCGCTCCCCCATAGTAAAACTCCCCACCTGCAGGGACGTACTTTTAGATGAAGATGGACAAATAGTAATAATTTAATGCAATCTTCTCATATGTGCACTGACTATTTTGTATGAGTTTTATACCGTGTCAGGAAAGGCTTACTTTTGTTTAGTTTAATTTTTTCCCTGTGCTTTGTTGTGTTGTGCTGTGAATATAATGTGTATGTTTGAAATTTGTTTCCTTTAAGTAGTTTTTTTTGTATTGGATGCTTACTTAATCTGTGCATTTTTTTTCCAGCAAAACCTGTGTCTCAAAAGCAACAGAACTGTACAAGCTGCATGCTTTATTTTTAGCTGATTAAATTTCATTTTTAGTGCTGAGATGATAAAGAGAGTCTGGCCTGTAGTAAAGTTATGTTTCAAAAGATTTTTATTGCTACGGCATTTGTAGGATTTCACTCCAAATTGCGAAATGAACAATCCTTGTAAAATGAATTATAGTAAAAAAAAATATAATTTTGATTTCTTTCTCAGTCTTTAGTAGAGCTGCAATATCTACAAGGTTTATAGGCCTACGCTTTTTTCTTGTTGTTCTTCTAATATTTAGTCTGTTTATACCTTTTCTTTTTCCAGGATGAAAATCAGACGAAAATATCATCATTTTTTAGGGTATGTATGTATGATTGTTGAAGTCTTAAATTTGACAGGATCTGTTACCACTTTTTGTGATTTTATTAAAATAGGATTGATGACAAAGGCATTTTGTGAGATATGACGTCACATTTATGGACCATTTTCTACATTTTGATACTAACACTCTTTCATAATGTATCTCAGTGATAAAGATGGTGCCTTTAACTTTAACATTTTAGTTTCTTACAAAGAAATCAGCTATGAAGTTTTTATTCATTCAAATTGCTCTACTTTATCATGAAAACTAGTGTCTATAAGACTAGACTCCTGTACTTCAAAATTGACTTTTACCACTGCTGTATTTCTATTTAAAAGGTTAGATTCTCACAGAATTTTGAATAAAAGTTCTCTTTTGAAATCCTCAGAATCCAAGTGGTCCAAAGAAGGAAAAAGAGAGTGGGTTATTTACAAAGATCAGCTCAAATACAGAGAGGAGTCTCAGTCTCAAAGAGAAGGGAAATGGCTTGAAAAATGCATCGAGTAATATGACTGGTCCACAAAAGACTTTGAAGAAACCAAATAGTAAGCTAAGACTACGAGAGGCGAAGAAAAAGACAAATTATGATGATGAGGATGATGTCCTTTGTATTGATGATGATAAGGACACTGGGTCAAAGGCAGTAGTTGTTGTTGAAGAAAAAAATGCTTTATCACCTATTTCCTATAGCCCTTTGAGCTCTCCAAATACAAAAGAGGAATCAGTTTCAAGAAATGAACCAGACACAGATGCACATGTTGATGATGTCATGGACGTAAGACTTGAGGGTGCAACATCGTATGATACTGCTAATGTTTGTAAACTATCTAGTTCAGGTTCTGCTGCCCCAAAAGCAGATGACAAGCAAGTAGGAGATGGAGATGATTCGACAGATGAAAATAAGTCACCAGTTTTTAAATCACCATTCTCCACCCCCGAAAAAAATAAAAGAGAGGTTGAAAGTCAGGCCTCCTCTCCGAAGATGTCTGTAGAGAGTATGGAAGGTAGCCCAGATATCATATGTGACACCCCAGAGGTTGACAAGGTTTTGAAAAATGCTGCTGCGAAAAGGAAACAAATTTGCTCTTCTCGGAGCTTCTTGCGTGCAACAGATCTTCTTGCTGTTCAACCTGATCTGAAACCAGCTCATCTGAGAGGTAATGGACACAGAAATAGAGGGGGAAGGAAGGGCATTGTCTCAGTGAGTTTCTCTAAAAAAATAGAGGAAGCTGAAGGTATAAATGCCCTAGGCGTAAGTGCAAGTTGCAAGGAGAAGGATTCATTGGTAGCCATTGAAGAGGAGGCAGAAAACAAACCTGAAATCATTTTATCTGTTCCAGAAACTCAAATGATTTCTGAAATAAAGGCATGTGATGTTGGAAAAGAAGAATGCTCAAAGAAGATTATCGAGGAGAGTGTTGCGATGTTAAATAATGTGAAAGGTAACATAAATCTGGAAGAGTGTGAAAGCGATCAGCCCGAACAAAATTGTGTTGGAGCCATGGAGCTGTTGTCACATAAACAAACACAAGAAAAGAGACATTTCTGTGAGATGGATGATTTTTTATTAGAAAAGCGTGAAGATTTTGAAAAAGTTCAGGATGTTGATAAAAAGCCAGGCCTCACTCGAAGAACAAAGTCTGATGTAAATATCAGCCCACTGTCTGTGGGCAGAGGTGCTCCTAGGACCAGATCTAGACTGATTGAAGCTCTTGAGGATGTGGATAAAAAAGTTCAAGAAAATGATGAACAGATATGGGTCAATGAAATTGTAATCAAAATGGCTCAAAACAGAGAGGCTGGGTTCGATTCAGGGGTGTCACTTTCAGACATTCAGCCATGTGCTCAGAAATTTTCTGCAAAACGAGAATCTTTGCCTGGATTATCTCCTTTGTCGAAAAGGCCTAAACTCAAATCAGATGTAGTGGATTTATCTGATGTACCCTGCAAGACAGCTAAAGGGGCCGTTAGAAAAAAACTGGAGCTTAGTAAAGGTGAAGAGACAGTGGAAATGAAACGTAGGAAAACCTCCAAGGATAGAATGGCCATGTTTGGTTTCAAAGGGAAGCAAAAGAGTAAAAAAGATGAAAAAGTGACTCTTCATGATGATGATTTACTGTCAGAGGTCCTGGGAAAACTGAACTCTCCGTCAAAGAGAGAAAGTAACACAGGGGCATCTGTGTCTCCCCTCAAAGAAAAGCAGAAATCTGCCGGTCAGGTACATACCTTGGTGCAAGAGAAAGAAAACGTTCATACTTTTCTCTCATTGTGTCAGAATATTGAAGTGAACTCTGAAGACATAGAAATGATGGAAGAAACTTTCAAGCAGTTTGGGGAAGCCTCAACAGGTGGTGCTGATGGTCTCAGCAGAACAGAGGAGGCTCATAGAAAAACGAATGAGGCTGAAACTGTTGACTGTATAGATGCGGAGACGAAAATCGACTGTTCTAAGACGCTTGAAGATTCTGTTATTGTTTTGGACTCTGAGAACACAGATGAGGATAATAAGGACATGTTTCCAGATAGTGACTGTATTATTGCTGAAGGCAGTGAGGAAATGGAAAAGTTTGATACTTCCAGAAATAGAAATTCTGGGGATAGTGACTGTGTTATTGCCGAAGGTGGTGTAGAGACAGAGAAGTTTGATACATCCAAGAATAGAAAAACAGCTGCAGTTGGCAGAAGTTGTGATGCTCAGGATAATATTTGCCAAAGTCATGAAATAGGTCTGATGGAACTGCCTCTTGAAAATGTCACAGAATCATCTGCCCCTTTTGAGGTGAGCGGATCTCAATTGACCACCACCGCAAATGATGTCTTCTCTCATCATTCGAGAGGCAATGTTGAAGTTGCTCTGCCCCCTCTCCAGTCATGTGGTAAGACTAGTGCAAACGCAGTGTTTGGTGGATATAACACCAGCACACCAAAGACAACAGACAACAAGCAGGCAGTGCCTCCTACTTCAAAGGAATTAGCTGTGGAAGCCACAGTTAAAAGTGCAGAGTCTGGGGTGACTGAAGATCCTTACCTTTTGGACTCTCTTGATGCTATGTTTGACGAGAGTTTTCATGAAAAGTCGCCTGTCAAGAAGAAAAACAAGTAAGTACAGTCTCCCTTCCCAACAAAAGGGTGTCTGCATTGCAGCTTTCATCCTACAATGTTACAATTGTACTCAGTGGATATTTTCATTTATATAGTAGTAGTTAAACTTTCCTGACCTCTTCGTAGTTTAAAACAACTGTATGCACTGCTCACAGCTGAACGCTCACTGCTGACCTTTTCGAAAATGTGGTTTCTAATCATTCTTACTTGCTCTGGCTAGGAGAATATTTTGAGTTGAGTCTTTTTCATAGCATTTCAGAATTTGTTAGTAATTCTTTTTCCCTGGAAAATCTGTACCCCTATAGATCTAATGATCATGTATTTGCGCCATACTATCCCTTTGTTGTTTTTTTGTGTATACTTGCATATAATGATATATGTCATATGCTAAAAGTAACATACAGTCAGGCATAGATAACTCGAAAACCTGGGATTGACAAATGTGTTTGACGCATCCGAAATTCGGGTAAACTGCACAGTGGAAAAGTGAAGAGATGTCAGTCGGGGAATGGGAAATTGTACGAGTTGTCCACGACTTTGAGTTTTCTGTATTTGTGTTGTCTGTGCTCGACTGTTGCATATGTATATGACGAATGCTAAAAGTGACATAATTGTTGTTAACTGTATATTTTCTTTTGCCCACACCCAGATCTGCTCTGAAAGCAAATAGTCGGAGGTCACCTGAATTTTGCTTCACTGACTTGTGGGAAAGATACACCGTGAAGACTGTTTGTAGGAAGAGGTATACAGTAAATGCAATACTATAATATAATGATCAAGTGCAGGAGATACAGTCTATCGACGACAAGCTGTTCAGCTGTACAAAGCCAAACATTTTGGAAATATTTCTTATTGCCATTTCTTAGTTTGTGGTATTGATTGCATACATACACTCATGAAATGTTATGTCACAATTCAAATTCTGAATGTTCTAAAAAGTGCAAGAAAGGATACATAAATTAGGTACAAATGTTAAGAGAGTGGAACAATTTGTTCTTCTTTCTTTGATGAATTTCAAATCGAGCTTAGAAAATTTGAACAGCTTGCGGACGATATGCCATGTTTTTGTGATCAAGCTCTGAGAGGGTACAACAAATGGTTTTACTCCTTCCCCAGAGCTTGGCTCTTCTCTGCATGTTTTTAAACTTGTTAAGACACTTCTGCCAACTGTCTTGGTTTTTCAGGGATTTATACTAGATTTCATAATTGTGAGTTTGATAATCAACAAGGAAAATGAGACTGAAGTCTTTTATTTTGTTTTACCTTCACTATTATTGTAGAATTAGAACCACCACCTCTTTTTTTTGCAAATTTTTAAAGTTATAAGTGTGAACTCGGGGTGCTTTGGCCTAGAGTCATATTATCGGCAAAAATTTCAGCAAAAAGTCTATGTCACTAAAAAACTAAAATCAACTAAAAATGTTATATCTCTTACTTTCAGAACCACACTTTTTTTTTGTCAGCTAAATCTAGTATGCGTGAATTCCAATTCTAAAGAGGTTTTTTGTTTGTTTGTTCTAAATGTTGTCATGACAAAATGATTTTGTCAAATTTCCTATCTTGACTTTGATGATGGATACCATTATCTTATTATTTTTAAATGGTTTTGCTGCAGTGATGAGAGTGAGGTTTTCTTGACACTAGTGAGAGATGGTGACTGTGAGGAGACGCTGTGCACACTGCAAGGCTTCTGGTAAGTGAGATTCCTCACCTGACAAAAGGAACAAGTCTGTGACAATCATTTCATGTGTTGCATATATTAGAGATAGAATGTTTTCACTATGGGCTTATGTGTCGTTCTTACTAACATTTCAGGTCATTAACAATAATCATTATAATCAGTAGGTTGTTGGTGGGTGCTCTGGTGTGGTTTGCTTTTTCTTTCTTATCAAATACAGTGGAGTCCACTTATGATGAGTCCTGAAATAATGTGAAGTCTTGTTATAAAGACTCTATTCTAAAACCCCTTTTTTTTCCTTCTTTATCTTTGTAGATAGAATACTGCTATAAAGCAATCAAACACCTAAGTCGGTTATAGCTGAATATTGCTTCTGCTGTACACAGCACATGGGTCAATTATGCACCATTCCCCTCCCTCTCGTAACAGGATGCCACTGTATCTAATATATTTACCTTAAGTCTCCTCCTTCTTTTCTTAGTATTACTTATTTACTAAGTTGGAGAATAAGCATCATTTTAGGCGGCACACTGCCAAACCTGCTCCTCCCTTCTCTCCAGGATCCATGGAAGGGTCTGCTTGCTGATGTTACTCTATAATAACACCTCTAATCTTCAGCACTTATATGATCTATTGATGTTGAAAGTTCCATAAAATTCTTACCCCCAAAAAATGAAAGAAACCCTGATAATCAGTGGATTAATGTGCGTACTGCCTTAATTTTTTTTTTTAGTTAAAAACTTAATTTTTTCCCTTTTGAACTATTCATTGAGAAGATTGACATTAGTACGAACGTTTTCGTGCTGGACAATGTCTTTGTCGTGCTATTGTAGAGGTGATATGCGATGTGAGATATTTTCTGCGCTACTTTATGCTTTGCACGGAAGGATGTTTATTGTACATGAGTTTGCCATTGATACAATTTAGATCAATCGTGAGGCAGAGCAGGCTGCTTTGCCTCTGCTTGTCCTTTCCATCCTTGGCTGATTTGCATATAATATCCCGGCAGACAAACGGACATACTGTGTTAAAAAAAATTTCCGCTTACTTCAAGTCCTTGCATGTGACAGTTAAGGGCCTTACCATTATGCCACAGATGCTGGTACCCTTACTCTTACAATGTGCTTAAATCCAAAAAAATTGTATTTGCCTTGAATGAATTGAACTGGTTACTACTTCCGTGTAGAGATACTGAAGTTGTTCCTGTTTCTTAACCGTTTAAAAAAAAATTGGAACTTCTGTCACAGGGCAGACACAGTTGTCAAGGAAGGTGACATTGTCAACATCATCGGAGAACGTTCTGGAGCAGAGTATGTCATCAGTGACAAAAGCGGACTCATTGTCATCAATCCTGACCTCCTGCTGTCTGGTACACTTGTCGTGTCCTCCGTTTTCTGCCTTCGCAAGTAAGTTTGTTTAGACTGGACAGGTGAATGTGTTGTTTTAAAAAAATAATAATTGCACTTTGACTTATACAGTGCACGTCCGTCTCTGCTGCATGCTCTATGCACTTTACAGCTATGTTTTTTCCACATTTTCTATGATGCAGAGTTTCTGTTAGTTATCCTTACGTCCTGTGACACTGGATCCTTAGAGGCCTGGGACTCAACGAAAGCATTAAGACTTCCCCTTTCCTAAAGTTCATTAACCTCAATATTACACTTTATCTAAAACATATCTTAAAGCTGACAACCTTGGACCTCACATATCTTTACTCATTCTTTTCGTCCTTATGAATTTCCATTGACAACAAAGCATGACTCTCATGTTAGCCATAAATTAAATGGTTGTACAATGTTATTTTTACTCCATATGTTTTCATTTCTATTTATTTCTTTTTGCAGGTCTGTTCTGAACGAAAAGTATAAGGTGGGTATAGTATAAAGTATAGAATTTATATTTTTATAATAGTAGCCTGTGTCTTCATATATTGGTGTTGTTGGTAACGTGGCAGGCTGACACAGCTTGTAATACTGTGTTGGGGTCAAACTGAGTTGAAATGTCTGCTAAATTATTACTCAACATCTCACTTATTTGTCTGTTGGTATTTGTTATTTTTGCTTCATTGTACGCAATCCTAATTTTCTTATATGCAATGGCACGCTGTTGAGAAGTAGCAATAGCTACAGTTGCTGGGTTTTTTTTTAATTTTGACTTCTGCTCAACTGATGTAGATCCATTTTTTGAGAGAACTGGGATATTGTTTCCTGTTTGTAATTGTAAACCACAGCTTTATGTCTGGGTTGAATAATTCTAAAGTAAACAAAAGAGATTGTGTTGTGTGTATCTATTTTGTCCAAATATCGTTAGCCATTGTTCACTCTATAAAAGTTAAGGTAAATGTCTTACCACACTTGAGATTATGGATGTCTGAAATTAAGAGTCTCATGATGGCCTAGCGATAGCAATATACAGCTCAGTTATTATTATACCTCATATTAAGGCACAGTATTTTAAGCAAAATTTGTTGTTACTATTGATTTTGTTCTATTGTCTTCTTGTTTCGGGTTTACTCTTATCAGTATTTTTCCTGGCTTCTTTTCTAGGGCATGGATACTGGTAATGCTCACATGCTGTACGGCAGCATCATCCACAGTTTGTTTCAATCTGTGCTCAGAGACGGACTTCTGCAGGAGACGGAAATCTCACGTGTCGCCCAAACGTTACTAGGCACTGCCAAGTTCCTGCATGACATGTAATTCTGGAATGAGTTAGCTATAAAAAAAATACAAGTTTTGGGGGGATTTTTTGTTTTAGATTGCCGGAAAGTCCCTTTTCTTTTTTTTAGTTTGTCTTTTACTCATTTGTTACCAGTTGGAGCATCTTCTGTAGAGTCTGTTCTCATTCTTCTCCACGCATCCTGATCTTAATGTGTTCCCCCCACCCCACAGACAATGCTCATGTATTTCTCATTTTCATCTTGTACCCCTGCTAAAACTCAGGGAGTAACTGACAGTAGGATCTTCTACTCACAGTGCAGTTAATTCTATGTCCATGGTTGTTTCTTCTACATAGCACGTAGAATCCGTCCTTGCTTGACAAGCAGCTTCGTGCCATTTTTTAAGGTACTTTTGATATTCATGCTGACAAGAGTGGCCTCAGTCGTGGGTAGAAATTAATTTTTTAACATTTTGCATGGACAGTGGCAAGAAAGGCCTGCTCTTTTCAATTGTTAGAACTTCTTATGGATTTTTAATGTGTGAAACTTGCACATGAGAGCTCCAAAATCTTTCGTCCTTATATGAGAAGACTAGGTACTTGATCCTTCCTACCCCAGGGTCAGGGGATGTAGGATAACATGAGAAAAAAACTAACGCTGTGAATAGTACTCCGGACCACCGGTTTGTCAGGCTACCACCATACTTATCGAGCTACTGAGACCTTCTTCCACTTAAAAAGAAAATCATTTTTTTAACTTGTCTTTTATTCATCTGTTGCCTGTTGGCATGTTTGTTGTGGAGCATCTGCAGTAGACATGAGGAAACATATTATGTGTGCTCATCCTGATCTCCTGTCCCCACCCAACAGACCCTCTGCTCACATCATTTCTTCATGTTGTCCATATCTCTTGTAGGTTATCTGTCTTTCTTTCATCATCTCTACCAGGTGCGTGGAGGGCATCGATGGTAGATCCTACTTCTTTCTTTTTTCCTGTTTCCATCTGTTTGTCTTACTGTTTCCCTGCTTTAAATAACTGGTGTGATAATGTCTTTCTGTTTTAAAAGTCTGCTCTCTCCTGTGGAAATTCTTTTTTTTCCTTTATACATTTTTTATTTTGGTTGATATGTTCTACTTATTATAATATTTCGTTCGTGATTGTGTATGGTTTTTTTTTAAAGATTACAAGACGGCTTTTGTTGCTTCACGGCAGCTTTTTTTCTTTTGAAGTCTGTGACATACAACCTTCCTATTTGGGTGGGTAGGCAAAATTGTGACCATTGACACAGTCAATCCGGCTTATGTGACTGAGAATGCATGTACAAAGAAAGAACTATTACTTACTCTTGTTTATCCACATGCTATATCTTTTGTATGAGGGGGGTTCAAAAAGTCTTTGGTCTAAATATGAAGGAATACTTGTCAAAAGGCAGGGTACCCACCGCGCAGACACCTTATTCATTTTAAGATGGTCATGGAGAATCGTTTCAGTCGACCCTACTCTGATTCTAATTTCACTTGAGAGCTGTTTAACAGTCATACGTTGGTCTTGTAGAACCATTTTCTTCACTATTGATATATTCTCTTCAGCAGCTAAGAAAAAGACATTCCTTAAATATAATTTTCTGTTCTATGTTATCCTTTTTTTCAGTCGGAATTGTTTTTAAAAAATTTGTCAATACTTATTTTGTCTTTCATGTTGACAGGTATAGTCGAGGAATGCAGGAGAAAAGTGTGATGGATGAAATTAATAATTACATTCCTGCCCTTAAATCTTGGCTGGAGAACCACTCTGAATGTTCTAAGCAAACTTCAAAGAAATCAGTGTCAAGGTAAGGTCACCTAAACATGACAGAGGAGAGTTGCTATCCTGACATTGACAAATCATCTCCAATGAGTTTAGGATTCTTGTTGGAGAGACCAAGGGTTTCCATGAGGCTCTCTCTCTCTGCAGTCTTTCTGAAAAGTTGTGAACACTTTTTCGTTAGCTAAAACAGCACCTAAACATGGATGGCTGATGCCTCCATAAATAAATTATTGATTATGTTTTGATGGTCACTTTTTCATTCTTGAGGATTATTGCTCTTTATAGTCCATTTATGTAGTGTGTGGTGTAACAGTTAGTGATTTCGCTGTTACACCCAAAAGATAACAGTTTGGCTCCTGAGATTTTCTATAATAACTGTCTTCATTCTGCTATATAAGATCACTCAGCGGCAGATATGTATCTCCAAAAAAAAAGAAAGAAAGATATAAAAGAAGTTTTTTACCATCTAGCATAAGGCTTTTGTCAGAATGAGCATAGATGTGTGTTGCTCTTAGAGTATGTATCTGTATATAACTCCAAAGGTCTAGTATTTAAATTCCTGCATGTGGTTGAATGATGCATTTTATGTAAATATACATTTCGTCAGCTTTACTTCTCCGTTCATATTGAATTTTAATGAGAGTATTATATAATTATAAAATTTTTAATGTATACCTGCATGTGTTTTTACAGTCCTGTACAGCCAAGAAAAACTTCCCTCTGGGATAATAAAGTATCTTATCTTATCTTATCTTAAACTTTTTCAGAGAAGTAGAGGTGATATCAAAGGGACTGTAGTGACGCGGTTACTACTACTAGTTTCTTCAGTTTTGTAGTCAGAAAGTTCTCTCCATTCTGACCTTTACATGCTCTCTTTTGCTGTTGTCACATCCTGCTATAGTATGATTTTATAAAGTCTGTCTTTAGAATGAAAAAGAATAAAATCTTTTATGAAAATCTCTAAAATTGCAACTGTTTTTTTGTTGAAGGTCTGATGTGACACTGACAGACATTCAAGACATTGAGGAGAACATCTGGTCTCCCAGGTAGGATATGTGGTTTATTATAAAGGATGTTTTCTTTTTCTTTCATATCATTATGTGTTGTGGCAAAAGAAAAGCTTCCGTTTTTCACAGGGGGGGGGGGGGGATATATGCGGTTTTAATCAATTAGGAGTCATCTGGGAGAAATCAAGGTTTGCCGGAAAATTTAGAATTGTGAATCTTTTGTATTGTTTCCAATTAAAATCTTCTACGAAATCAGTGGATGAACATGTTGATTTTTATGTTTTCTTTACCCTACCCAAATTTAACAAATAACCATCTTTGACTTACTATGCTATTGTCTCCGTTATATGTTTTCCGCACCCTACACCATGCAAATGGTCATAGCGTTTGTACCATTGAAGATATTTGCAGGAAATAAAATGCTTTTATTACTCAAAGTGTCCTAAATCAGAATATGCACTTTTCTCAATATGCAAATTTTAATCCATGTGAAGGGTTTTCTTATCCACCACGCATATATGGGCTACCTCTTTTTTAATATTTTGAATGTACCTCTTTTTTTCTTTCTTTCATTCCTATAAATATAAACTCATACAAGACAGTGGCGTCGGTGGCCTAGTGGTTAGGCTCTCGGACTCGCAACCGTAAGGTCGTGGGTTCGAATCCCGTCAAGGGCCCGACGTGTCCTTGGGAAAGGCACTTTACACGAATTTTCCTCGCTTCACCCAGGTGGAAATGGGTACCCGGCTATAGACAGCGAAAGATCTTGTCAGTTTGTTAGTGTTTGAGCGCTTAATCGGCTGCTTGCACTGTGTGCTTCCCAGGCAGCTGAGAATGTTTCGGAGTGTTCTATGGTCTACTGGGGTAATGATATAGTGTAAAGCGCATAGAGCCTGCTGTTGAGCGGGGATATGCGCTATACAAATGCTATCTATTATTATTATTATTAAATCAGAATATGCACTTTTCTCAATATGCAAATTTTTATCCATGTGAAGGGTTTTCTTATCCACCACGCATATATGGGCTACCTCCTTTTTATATTTTGAATGTACCTCTTTTTTTTCTTTCTTTCATTCCTATAAATATAAACTCATACAAGACAGGAATATAGTAATCTGATGAACATTGATTTTCTACCAATGTGTGAAGTTTATTATTTCACTGAAATTGCTTGGTAAATTGGTAACAGAGAGAGCACAAGAATTCATCAGCTGAGTAAATTTCTTCATGAAGAAAAAGAAGAAAATAAATGGCCTGAAATGCTGCTAAAGCCCACAGTATATCACAAACTTGTCTTTGTCTTTGAAAAGCTCAGTTGCTGTGATTTTTTAAGTCTTTTGATTGTGACTGAGCAAGAATTTCTTTTTAATCATTTTTTGTTCGATCATTTCTTCTTTTTGCCTTATCTTTGTTACACTGAAATATTGAAGCACAATCGATCAGGAAAGATTGGCATTCAAAGTTCACTGTATGTTTTGTGTGTTTTGTTTCTGCACTCTTTTTCTTATAGGAAAATGTTTATTTTGCAGACTTGGACTGAAAGGAAAAATTGATTTAACAGTTAAGACAAAGGTAAGTTAGACTTTTCCATTTTGTGCTTCTGTATGTGATAGATAATAATAATAATAATGGATTGCATTTATATAGCGCATATCCACTAATGCAATTCTTTATGCGCTTAACATGATATATATTATGGATTTACAAATCAATTTTGAAGGCATATAGTGTTACATACGTGTGCCCACACATACGCACGCACGCACCACACACACATACACACATACATACACACATACACATATACGTACATACGCACATATGCAAATACAAACTCACAACGATCTACAGCTTGGATGGATTCTGTCTAATCGAAATATGATGAAAATAGAAATGCTTTTAATTTCTTCTTAAAAATTTCTAGATTTTCTGCTTCTCTGATAGTTTTTGGAAGCCTATTCCAAACAAGTGGGGCAAAATATGAAAAAGAGCGTTGGCCATATGACTTGTAATTTATTTTAGGTTTAACAAGGGTTGTTTTGTCACTTGATGATCTGAGCGTTCTAGGAGGTACATAGGGTGTTAAAACCTGATATTTGAGACATCTGTGTACTATAACAGATTACAAGATGTAGGTCAGGTGGAGTGTGTAATGTTTTTCGTCTTCATGGACAGTATCATTGCTACAAGATTCTATACGGCTAAATTCGGTTTTTGTTTTTTCCCCCCTGAATTCTGACTGACATCACTTATCAGATTCTATTAAAAAGTTTCAGCCAGGTTAACCATCCAAATTGTTCCTACGATGTTGGATTCTAAACCGCTGAAATGTGTATTACAGCCTCGTTTTAGGTTTTTCCACTCGCCTGTAAAATTGACAGAAACCGAGCTAGCCATTTAGAAACCTTCAGCGATAATTATGCTGGAGAGGGAAAAATGAAATGCATTGATAGGATACCATGTTTGTAAAAGATATTCTCTTTATTTTGGAGAGAAAGGTGAAAATGCAGTGCAAATATCACCCTGCAGAAGATCAAATGATAATGTATTACCTTATATAATTGGGAAGTTAAAAATCAAAGATTCATTGGCCTTTAATTCTTTGCAGGCAGTCTGCGAGAATACTCGTATTCAGACAGCCACCTTATTACGAGAAAAATCCAAATCCTTCTCTGTCTCTCTAAAACTTGCTCCAGTCACGGCGCACCGGCAGTGGAATTTTAGTTGCCGCGCGCGGGGGGGTTCCCCGCCGGGCGCCTTATCACGTCGGGGTCACGGGGGTCACCTCCCTGTCGCTCTGTCTAGGCCGACTTAATTTTTGGTACTTTTCAACGTACAATTCTTGGAGTATCCTTGTATTTATGGTAATTCTCATTTAATGCACCCAAAGCATGCATTTTTGCTCTTGAGACTCAAAAAAGAACGGACGTTGTAACTTGTCTGGTCATTTCGTTAGACGCGCTGGATTCGGCAATGCAAAATTGTAATTTTTTTTTGACTAGCATGAATGAAAAAAAAAAAAATTTAAAAAAGGCCTTGACAAAATCTGTAGAACTTTTGGAACATGAACGGCTTAGCTTTGGTGCAGATACTGAGAAAAGATGATATCTGCGCATATAATAAGAAGCTGTAATTTTGCAACTTTATCCACCGGGCACACAATTCGCTATGAAGTAATTCCTCCAAATACAACTTTATGTGTCTAATATAATCGTGAATATTCGCATATTTTCTCGAAAGTTTATAAAAGTTGTCATGAAGTTTCCCTATGAAAATCGATTTTAGTGCCAGAATACATCTTCAATGTAATACACGAACAGTATCTGTTACACTCCAGAAAATCCTTACTTTTCTTAAAACACGAAGTGTAGGTTTGTAAGTTATCATTATTTCAATGCAAAAATATTGGTTGTGCTACTTTTCTCGCCGTCTTATTTTGAGAATACTTTCCAACAATCTAGCTGATGTTGCTTTATATGCAAGAAGCTTACTCGTTTTTAAACAGAATTTCTTCTTTAAATGGCTTTTAGACTCATTGCCTTATTGTCTATATTTCTTCCAGCTGAAGGGACAGTACGGAGTTTGTGAGAAAGTTTTGCCTCTGGAGCTGAAGACAGGAAAGGCGAGCTTTTCTGTTGAACACCAAGGGCAGGTAAAGTTTGAGTTGCATTATTAATTTGTCAGTGATGATGCAATATTAACTTCTGTAGAGATGCATTGTTTCACAATTTCAGAGGTTTGGAAACTGTAGTTGTTAGACTCTTTGCCGTTGAACAAAGAAGATGCGGGTTGGATTCTCAAGTGGAGAAGTTTTTTTAAATTGAATGTCTTTGTCTGCAGGAATGTTGCACCCCACTCAGCCTTAGTCAGATCTGACAGACACGGTTGAAGTAGACCGTACCAGAGCCTATGATGTAGCAGGAGGTGCTTTGCTATTGTACGCAGGAGATCCATGTTCGATTCCCGACTGAGGAGAAAATTTTAATTGGATATCTGTTTTTCTGCTGAGATGTTGTATCCCTCTCAGACTAGGTTGGCCCTGATAGGCAGGGTCGGAGCCGCCTCCAAGATGATCTAAATTGTGTCAAATGGGGTCAAAAAACACCTACATTAAAAAGTGGACAGTCTCCTAAATGATCTAAATTATGTTGTTTGGGACATTGTTACTCTCTTGTAACGCCTCTAATCTTCTGGCGCTCATATGAATGAATGCTGTTGCGAGCGCCGTAAAACCTCTACTAAAACTTTAAAAAACCATTTACGATAAATAGATAACAATTTTTTACCATTGCCCGCTGTCGTAGAGGAGTTCATGGTTCTGTTCTCACCAGGTGACGCTGTACTCCATGATGTCAGCCGAGCGACGCACAGATCCAGGTCAGGGGCTGCTACTCTACCTCAAACACAACCAGATGAAGACGATTGATGTGAAGCCGGAGGCAAAAAGCGGTTAGACATTTTTTTTTTACGTCAACATTTTTGTGGAACTCTAAAATAAGTCACGTTCTCAGTAAAGAGATAAAAAAAATTTTGTTCTGTTTTTGTATTTAAATATTTATACTATGCATGCGAAGGAGCTAGTCTCGTAACTGATCTAAGCTGTGATGATGAAGGTCTAAAATGATATATGTTTCATATTGTCAGGATTTCTGGAACTGAGATGTTTTACGGTTTCATATATTCTCAGGTCTTATTCAGTTAAGAAATCGGCTTGCTGAATATTTGAGACGACTGGTTCGTCGTGACACTCTGGACGATGGACAAGTCAGCTACTTATTGGGTCAGATTCCTCCACCAATCAACAACGAGAGAGCTTGTTCAAAATGTGCTCACCTACTCAGCTGTTCAATGTATCAGAGGTAAACTGTCCATCTGAAGTGTGTTCATACCATGTTATAGAGTATGAACTTATTTTTAAAAAAACCCAAACAGTAAAATGGCCAAAAGTGAATATTGAATTGTTTGTTTCCTTCTCAGAAATTTCCTTGAAATTAAATGATGCTGATGCCAATTTAGTCAACCCATTCCCACCTTGATAGACCAAAGGTGACTACTGCATGAACTCTCCTGTGCCCCTATATCGGCCATTGTCGCCGGATAGCTTTGCGCTCATGACTTTCTGTACCCTTCATTTGGTTCCGAATTAATTGAGTCAAATGGTGCTCTCCATAGTGAACTGAAAGTTTGTCAGAGTGCGCAGTTTTGAAAATTATAAAACAAATTTACCTTCTTAACCTGTTTTATTTGGCCATTTCCCCACCTTTTTATTTTTATTTACTTAGAAGTGGAACTTTTTTTTAAAGGTGCCAATTTTCATGGTATATTTTAAAATAAATGTGCATCACAAAGTTTGTTGTACCAAAAGTTACTGAGAGTTGTCATTTCCCTACCTGAATCCCCCCCCCAACAAAATGTACATCAATAAATATTTCTCAGCTTTAGTGTAAGTTAAGAGCATGACACTCTATGCCTCCTGACTACAGTGACAGCACTGATTCTTTGTTACAGACTGGACACTGACCAGAACATCAGGGAAAATCATGCCATGGGCCGGCTTGTGCCAGAGTCTCTGCAGCACTTGGGTCAAGAAGATCTCAGCTACTTCTCACACTGGACTCTGTGTCTAGACCTGGAAGATGAAGAGTCTAGTCGTGCTCGTCTCAAGCAAATCTGGACGATGAGCAGTCGAGAAAGGTAGAGTTTCTTAATACTACTTTTAATACTAATAAAAATAAAAGTTTTTGTCCTATAGCCAAATAACTAAAACACCACCTCTACACAAATTTTAGTACAGGGAATTCAGAGCTGTGTCAGTGCAGAACCTGCTGCCAAACAGGAAACCATCTGTTACAAGCCTGCCCAATGATCGAGGCACTGAAAGGAAATATTGACCCAGCCGTAGGCAGGGACACCCAAAACTATACGGGAGCCTGGAGGACCAGTCTTTACACTAGACTGGGATGTTTATTAAGAGATGAATGAGACTAAAATCATGCAGGCTAAAGTCTCAGTTTATGACAGAATTCCGTCTGGTAGATTTTTGGTCAAGGCGAAGATATAACTCCTTGATGTTGATTTTATTTTTTGTGAGTCTAATACTGCTCACAAAGAAAGCAAAAAAACTTAACCCACCTGATAGCTATATTCTGGAAAGAATAACAAAGTTGTCGATTCTGTTTGTCTTTGGGGACAATAAGAGCTGCGATGCTGATGGTTAGAGGGTACCTCTGGTAGGTTCATCTTCATATTTTTCCTCTATTGTTTCTGTCTGTCTTGCTCTGTCCTTGCACTATATTAGTGTTATTATGTCAATTCTTTGCTGTTTACTCAAACAAATGAACAAATAAGACCTTTTTGTTTTTTAGGTTAGTTTAGTAAGAGTTTTACGGCGTTCACAACTGCACACAGTCGTATGAGCGTAATCTAATTGTGAACTGACGAGGTTGTTTGAGAGACAAATAAAGGCATTGTTTCCGTGTGTAACAGGGAGTCGATGGGCGACTGCATTGGGAACCTTGTGATCAGCTGCTCTGCACTTGGCATTCCGGAATCTCAGTGTTTCACAGAAGGGAAGGGTTGCTCCCTTACCTTCCTAAGACATCCCGAGTAAGTATTTCTTCACCTTTGACGGGGCTCAAAATAATTATGAATTTGGTGGAGTCATTACCATTTTTATTTAGTTCTACGGAAATACAATCGTAATACCCCTGATTCCGATTTTTTTAAACAAATGGCTACTCCAACCCACTGCAAACCTTACAAGTGTAAAAATGAATAAAACCCACCAGACAACTCGGACGGTCAGATCGTCACGTCACGTGCAGAAGGCAGATCTAGCTTTTAACACCCTCTCTGCTTTGTGCCCTTGTCGTAGCTTGGTGCCACTTCGCTTTTAGAAAATCATTTGACTTTAGAAGTACCGAAGGTATTGTACGAAGTTTGAATCCAGATTACTAAATTTGTATTTGTTGATTACGAAAACCTATGCTGATGGGTGGGCAGCCCTGCTTTGACCTGTCTCTCCTTGTTTCGGCAGATTTGTGTCTTTTTTTTTTTTTCCTTCTCTGCTGATCCTCTGCTGTTTTGAAATGGGACGAATACATAACGTTTACATTTATGTTATCACAGATGGACTTGTGATTGGCTCTCTAAGCCTGCTCAGTTGGAAAATTTAGAACATATTATGAAAACACTGTGGAAAATAACCTTCCTAATAAATAATGGCTCTCCAGGCCAGGCATCCTAAAAGAAATAACTTGCCACAAAGCTTCATTGGTGGTTGGCGGGTTCTCTGGTGTGGTTTGTTCCTTCGTTCCTATCAAACGTATTCTTTTTTGTGTTTGTTACTCTGTTGTAAAACATATAATTTTTGGCACTTATATGACGTAATTGTGATGTACAATATGGAAATCACTGTACACATGTAAAATTTTGTTTTAAAGTGCAAGTATTCCTGTAATTTATGTCATTTTGCACTGACTTTTTATACAGTGGAAACCATATATAACGGGGAACGGGGATCCGGTAATAACAGGGATTTTTAAAGTCCCCGTTTTTCTCCTACTCTTTGTCTCTATTTATTATAAAGTTATCGGCAATAAAGGGCCACATCGGAGCCCAATCGGTTATAGCAGGGACAAAGGCTCGTTAACAGTGTGTAAAAAGTAAGAGAGAGAAAGAGAGTAACACAGTGATGGAGCAAGTCCACGCAAGCCACGCCACTGCCAGCACACGCAATGTTGAAGCGAGAGAGGGCTGCGGTGTGCTGCAGACTTCGATGTAACCCGAAGCCTAGCTACACGCACGCGTAATGTGTCATGCGCAGGCCATGGGAAACTACCCATGAATAAATTCAGCTGGTTAGTTCACAAATGCTTACTTCCCTTGCATTTCTGATTTAACAGGGATCTGATAAAACAGGGCTTTTTCTCTGGTCCCACCATCCCTGTTATATCTGGTTTCCACTGTACCTCAATGTTAAAGTATTGTAACTAATTTTCAACATTAACAGAGAAATGAGTCCGTAGCAAACTACTATTCAATACAGAAAATAACCTAAAGAGAGAAAAACAACTGAATGTCTTACGCTCTGTGCAAAGATTATAATCTTTTATTTGTTTTGAATGGGTTTTTTCTAGTCATTCTGGCCTGCCGCTGAACAGTGTTGGACTGGTCAGCAATGACATGGTGGTTGTGAGTAGTGAGGATGGCCGCTACATTGCACTCGCTACTGGCTTCATAAGAACCCTATCTGAGTCACGGGTTGAGGTTGTTGTTGACAGGTTGGTAACTATTGTCATGTCTGCTGGAAATTAATTGACAGGATATAGATTTATGTATTTATTTTAGGCTCCGTTCAAGGAATCGGATCCAATACTATTGTTTATTCAGAGTTGCCTGTTCACCGGATAAATAGGAAAGTCCCGATTTTTGAAATTGCATTCTGCCTGACTCTAAGAAAAGCCTTGATACGATATGGATTAGACGTTGTGATTCCAAAATTTTGAGTCCCCACATGAGGGTTTCTCCGGGCTTCTGAAAGTTCTGGATTTTTTTTTTCATAGTCAGTTGGCACCTCTGTTTATTGAAGAAGGGGGCGGGGGGTATTGTTAATACTATTATTATCACTTTAGTGTCTTACTGTATTCAGTTATTCTTTTTTTCTCTTTCTTTCTGTATTCACATTTCTTTGTTTGTCTTTGTATTTGTCTGTCTTCATGTCGTGGATCTTTGCTTCATTATTAAAGTTTTAATTTGTCTGTCATTTTGTTCACTTGTATTTTTGTCATTCTGTCTGCTTAGCCTGTGGTTATGGTTAGCAGCTGTTGTTAGCAGGTCTTGTGTGCATCTTTTTTTGTTTTATTTTCGAATGTCTTACTCTTTCAAGTAAATTGTGGTTGGAGGGTGCCACTGGTAGGTACTTCTTCTTTTCTTTCCCTCCCTTGATTCTGTCTGTCTTGCTTCATCCCTGCACTAAATGACTGTTATTGTGTCGATCCTCTTTTTTTTGGTACAAACTAAAACTCAGACTTGCAAGTCATTGGTGTGCTTCTGTTCAACTCATAGAATTGTCTCAGTGGGTGGTTGGCGGGAGCTGTGATGGGGTTTGCTCCTTCTTTCCTATGAAACATCTTATCGTCCTGATCTCTCCTTCTTCTTTTAGTTTTAGTAAAGAGTTTTACGGCACTTGCAACACAATAAGGTCATATAAGTGCCGAAGATTAGAGGTGTTACAAGAGAGGAACAAACACAAAATAGAAGGAGGAGAGATCAGGACGATAGACGTTTGATAGGAAAGAAGAAGCAAACCACACCAGAGCACCCGCCAACCACCCACTCTCCTTCTTCGTTTTTGTTTTTGTTACTCACTTTCAACACCTCTAATCCTCAGCACTTATATGACCTTATTGTGTTGCAAGTGTCGTAAAACTCTTAACCAAAAGAAACCAAGAATTTTCTCAACATCAATTCCTGTTTCAGGGACCAGCTACACGACACGCAGGTCTACACGGACATGAAGTTCCGGTTAGACAGAAACGACAGCTTCAGCATGTCCAGCCACCTACACACAAACCTGTGTCGCTTGATGGAAGCCACATCTCAGGCGTACGCAAGTTATTTATATTTTTTAAATGACGTAGTTGCTGGGGTTGTTTTTTTTTTTTGGGGGGGGGGGTTGTAAAGCTCATGACTAAATTATTTTTGGGAAGATCAAGGTAAAGTTAAATGTTTTTGCTGTGTTGCAAGGGAGCCGTACCTCAGATGCGTGACTTTTGGAGGGGGGGGGGGGGGGTTAAATCAAGGTAAAGTAAAATTAATGTTGCTGTGTGGTTTGATGGAGGCCACACCGCAGGTGCACGCAAGTTATATACTTTTATATAAAAATGGTTTAGATACTTTTTTTGGTAACACAATCGACTTATATTTTTTGGGAAAGATCATTTTAAAGTTGATATAACACCTGTTGGCTTGTGTCATTTGATCCAGGAAGTTGTGTGTTAAGAGGTACTGGGTGCATAGCACATAACTGCCAACCAGTATATAAAAAACATATTTACTTTGTTTTTGAAGGTCTAAATTAATGGGTATGTATTTGCATTGGAAAATAAGTATTGGTTTTTTTTTCTAGTATTGCTCTCCACAGTCTTGTCAATTCTGAAGAAAAAAAAAAAATGAACTGTCTTGACCAGATTTGCAAATGACAATGTGGAAAAAACACATAAATTTATTAGAGAGATCTTTTGCTTTACATTTCTGACATCTTTGTTTCAAGTCTTTTTTGAATAGCTTGAATGCAGAAAAGTCTGAAGAGTTTGGAAAGGGGGGGGGGGGTTGCTTGTCTAATGTGCACCAGTTTGACCTTCCTTGTGGGTAGAGTCTGTAATTTGGTTTTGAAAAATTAGCAGCTGTGATAGCATTATGATTGAAATTAGATGCCATTTTCATCTTGATCAGTTTTCCTCTGATTTTAGTTTAGCAACTGTACACTAACCGTGCCCGCATTTTTATAAAGCCAAACAGCTGAATTAGCTTCTTGCTTTGCATGACTGCTGGAGAATGCGTGTCTGCAGTGCACTGTTGTTATGTTTTTTTCCAGAGAGAAACTGAGGAATCTCATAATTAAGCTACACAAGCCAGCTTTTCAGCTCCAACTGCCAAAGAATCACATTCTGAAAGGTTAGTCAATCATAATTTATTTGACTGTGGTTCTCGAGAAGGTAGGTATATTGTGAAGTCCTTATTTGTGATTTTTCAGCCACCATATTAAATATTAGCTTCTTTTCTCTGTCCCAGATAAAATTTGTAATTTACTGCTCTAATGCCGGAATATTTTTTATTTACATATCAAGTTTTTGCTTGTGAGAAAGTGTTTCCTTTTAAGAAGGATATCTTGATCTACTGGAAACCAGCAAAGGCAGAAGATCTGTCTTGTGGATTTCTTTTAGAGTTCACAGAAGACAAATCTAATTGTGAGGCAGCGTGGTGGAATCAGGCTCTCGTCAAAATAATGAAAGTGAAGAAACTTGCATTTTTCTTCAGGTTTGTGAATATTTATCAAATGTTTGTTTTTTGGCCCAACACCTTTCATGCCCATTAAAGAACTCATTTCTGTGTGAATTTTTCTGAAAAACGTTGATTAAAGGCACAAAAAATGTAAATTTTCAGTTACCACGGACTTTTAAGCTAAGTAAATAACTAATCTTTGGCGCCATTTTCTCACTAATTTTACCACTGAAAACAGGTGACCCCCACCTCATTCTTTCGCAAATATCTCGACTTGTGTTCAAGATAAATGGATATTTTTTCATCCAAATAAAGACAAGTATACAAGCTTTAAGATGATACCAATGACTCTACATGCCCAAAAATTGACGAGAGCCTGATTCCACCACGCTGCCTCACAATTGACCCAGCAAGGCTATCAAATATTATGTGCATTATTACAATACTTGTTCCTTCTCTGTGCAGACACAGATGGTGTTGGCCACACTGACACAGCCGCTCACTTTCTGCTACCGAGTTCTTACACCTACCGGTCTTTTTCAGGCATTCTTAGTTTTGGTTCTAGTAAGAGTCTTACAGCACTTGCAACTCATTTAGGTCATATATAAGTGTGGAAGATTAGAGGTGTTACAAGAGAGTAACGAACACAAAAAAGGACGGAGGGTAAGGAAGCTAGATGTTTGGTATGAAAGAAGGAGCAAACCACATCAGAGCGCCCTCCGACCATCCACAATCGTTTCTTGTCAACCCAGTGTTGTCCTATTTACCTGTATTACCTGTATTACCTGTCCTGGGCAACAACGTCATTGCACACCGAACAGGTCCATAAGTGCTCAGTTAATTGTCCTATTTAGTTATCATTTCCAACAAGTGTCCTTTTTAGTCTTCTTCCTAAAAGGTCGTTGTGTTCAACCGTTGCTCTTAAGTGGTTTATGTCGATTACTTTGACTTCTCTGTTTTGTTTTACCTGTAAAGTTTGTTTCTTTCCCTTTTTTTTTCAGTGAAATCTGTTTTCAGATCCCTGAACAAACCACAAAGAGCTGCAGTGTTGAAGGTATTTTACCATTTATTTTGGTTATTGTGTTTGTGCCTCTGATTTTCGGATACGTATGTATTTCAATGAGCCGGTGAAGAAATTTTGTAGCGTTTTTAATACATCTGTCTGGTGTTCTCTTTGAAAGTGAGATCAGCTTTCTGGTTTATGCTTATAGTAACTAAAATTAGGTACCACAAACTAAATTTTCAAAGTAGCTCTGTGCCACATTTATTTGTTCCTTATGAAAGGCCTATATCCTCTGAGCATTTTGGTACCATTCTTTAACCTCTCAGTCAATTTTAAAGAAAATTGTTGTTTAAAAATTGATCTAATTTGTTACAGCCGCTCACTGGCTGCAACCCCATGTTTGACAGATAATAATTGTTGGTAGGTTCTACTTTTCTTTCCCTCTGTTATTTGTCTGTCTGTTTGTCTTACTATATCCCAACACTTCATGAACAGTGGTTGATTGGAGGACTCATTTAGTAGGTCTTACTTTCTTTTCTTTCACTCCCATTGTTTCTATCTGTCTGTCTTACTCATTCCCAACATTTCATAACCATTATTGTGGCGATGCCTTTCTGTTCACTCAGACAATTCAAACATTCTCTCCCTATTCAGGTGCTGATGGCCAAGGATTTTGCACTCATCAAAGGCTACCCTGGGACAGGTAATCATAATAATAATAATAATAATAATGATAATATTAATATTAACAATATTAATAACAATAACAACAATTATAATACTGACAATATTATTAACAATAACAATAATATTGATATAATTATAAATATAATAATGATAGTAATAACAACTGCATTTATTTAGCACATATCCATGTTTTCCAGCATGCCAAATGCACTTTACAACTATTATTATTAGCACTGTGCATAGGCCCAGTGAGCTTGTATCTCAAGTCAGGCAGGCATTGCCAAGAACACTTGGTTACTTTTCTTTAGAAGTTGGCACATCTACTGACTTAAAGCATTTACTGTGTATTTTTGTGTGTTCTTAGAAGGATAATTTCTATCTTATCCCGTTCAGCTTATCATGGGAAGTCAGAAAAGGCTGTGTGTACTCCAAAAATGACACATTTGAAAGCAGTTTACTGCATGCTTTTGTGTATTTTTATTCTGCTTTTCAAAACAAACAGCTGACCATGGCATTGGATTCATCAAGTAATGTAAAGCAAATATACTTGTGTGCCTGGAGAAAAGTCCGAGTTGTCAGAAATTTTGGATATTCAATTAAGGGCATATTCTTGTAGCAAATTCGATGCCGAGCACACTGATTTTTAAATTTTCCAATATCTCGAGCATCCTGAGTAATTTTAAAGATTTGCCACATTTTGTAACTCTGGGTGTAAAAACAAAGTTTGGAGAAAAACAGCTTTAACCGTAGTATGTTGACTCATTAACTTCTTTGCACATATTTAATCATTGGGGAAGTAGAAATGTTGCGAAAATAATTAATAAAAATATGTTTAGACTTAGAATATTATAAAATCCTTTGGTCAAACGTCTCTTTCTGATGGAACAAAATTTTCGACAAGGTAGACTTTTTTTGGCCTTTTCATTCCGTTGCTGAAATATAACTTTGCTGACAACTGGGGCCTTTCTCCAGGCACACACACATATAGGTGCTAAGCAAATCACCCAAAGGTTTCTCATGTAGCTAATGAAGATAATTATTTTTCAGAGTCTGATATAGATCATAACATTCATGATGACAATAACAGTGACCCCAATCAATCTAAAGCCAGAGACAAAGAAGCAGATCACTTTAGGTCTGGGTAGACCTAATTGCTTTACTAAGCGGGATATCTCTATACTGGTTACGGTAAAGGTAATATTTCACTTGTAAAAATCTTTGGCCTTCATTGTAAATATTGTAAGACTTTCCCTATGATTCAATTGAATCAATACAGTCTCTGTTCCTGCATGTCTCCTCAGGCAAGACTTCTACTATTGTTGCTCTCGTGAAAATCCTTCGCCTCCTTGGTCAGTCAGTTTTGTTGACCAGCTACACCCACTCAGCAGTGGACAACATCTTGCTCAAGCTCAAACAGGTACAGTGCGCTGCTGGGTCTCGGATTTTTCGCTTTATGTCAAATTCATCATCAATATGTGCCAGATCTGCAACAGACATCAGTGATAGTGGTTCTCCATTCGTTCCTTCACTTGGATGTTCTCAAAAAAGCTACGTTATCCTGATCTTTCCCCGTCACCCAATTGTTAAGGCTTTCCACATAGGTTGCTATGAGTCTACCCCTGCCTCAAATGTACAGTGGAGCCTGCTTGGGCTGAATTCTGCGGGGTTGCGGGATTTTCTTCGGTATAACAGAGTTTTTGGTTAGCAGGGGTTGCTCAAATGGAAGAATACAATTGGGGATTTTATTTCTTTTCAGGTTACTGCTATTTGCAGATTTACTGATGAATGAATTAAGGAATACTTATGTCTAAAGATGATTAAGATGACAGCAGTTTAATGGATGATGCATAAATGCTGAGTGAAGCAAACCCTCAGTCGTCATTGAGTAGCGCACATAATGCAAATTACTCAACCGTAAAACAGATTCTCTTTGATGTGTTCCTTTCACAAGGATGAGGTCCCGTTTCTGAGAGTGGGTCGTCAGAGCCGAGTTCATCCCTCCATTTTGCCTCACTGTGCCGAGATACTTACCTCATCTCCCAGCATCAACTCTGTGCAGAAGCTGAAAGACTTCTACGACTCTTATGTGAGTTAAAGATTTTATCAAGTGTAGATTTTTGGTCACATTTCCTCCTGAAATCATCGGCATCAATACCCATCTCTCCCTGCATCAGGGTATAGGCCATGAACAAACACTTTCCACTTTTCCCTATCCTATTCTAGTCTCCTGATACTATCTATCCATGCCTTCCCACTTTTGTTCCTGCTGAAATGTGTGCATGTAATTGTGTCTCTACAGTATTGTGTGTGCAGATAGTATTACCAGGAGGGTGCCGTTTGCAGGTCCCTTTTCTTTTCTTTACCTCTCTTGTTTCTGCCTGCCTATTCTACTTTTTCTCAACTCTAAATGACTTATGATATGGACGTGCTTCTCTTTGCTCAAAGGTAAGCCTGTGTGTGTGTGTGAGACTGTGTCTTCAGATATGCGTGTATTTGATTATGTGTCTACAGATGTATGTGTGTGCATGTGCAGATATATGTGCTTGTTTTTGTGTGTCCAGATGTGTGTATGTGATTGTGTGTATGCATTTCTGTGTGCTCATGTGATTGTCTATAAACAGATATGTGTGCCTGTGATTGTGCGTCTGAAGTAAAGAGGCAGTAAGAGACAGGGTTGGACAAAAGAGCTTGTTGGTTGTACTTTTGCAAAGTCATGTGTGTCTTGAAGAAAAAATAGGTATTAATTTGGCTAAATGCAATGTAAAGAGCTTTGAGTCACAATGGGATTGCGAGTGCTGTGCATAAATATTAACTTTTTCATCACTATTACCAGTTCATTCAAACGTTTTCCAGGACATTGTTGCAACCACTTGTCTCGGCACCTCCTCTCACCCGCTGTTTGACCAGCGAACCTTTGACGTGTGTATCGTGGACGAGGCGTCTCAAGTGTTGCAGCCAGCCTGCTTGGGCCCGCTTTTCCGATGCCGTCGGTTCGTTCTGGTTGGAGATCCCCAACAGTTGCCGCCTCTGGTGCAGAGTAAAACAGCCAGGTAGAATAACGATAGAGGGTGGACAGCTCCATGTTCTACACAGTCATGGCCAGCTCACACACCCAATGATTGTACAGTTCCCACGCACCCACTGACATCTCCTTGTCCCACACACCCAGGGATTGTACGGTTCCCACACACCCACTGACATCTCCTTGTCCCACACACCCACTGACATCTCCTTGTCCCACACACCCACTGACATCTCCTTGTCCCACACACCCAGGGATTGTACAGTTCCCACACACCCAGGGATTGTACAGTTCCCACACACCCAGGGATTGTACAGTACCCACACACCCAGGGATTGTACAGTTCCCACACACCCACTGACATCTCCTTATCCCACACACCCAAGGATTGTACGGTTCCCACACACCCAGGGATTGTACAGTTCCCACACACCCACTGACATCTCCTTGTCCCACACACCCAGGGATTGTACAGTTCCCACACACCCAGGGATTGTACAGTTCCCACACACCCAGGGATTGTACAGTACCCACACACCCAGGGATTGTACAGTTCCCACACACCCACTGACATCTCCTTGTCCCACACACCCAGGGATTGTACAGTTCCCACACACCCAGGGATTGTACAGTTTCCACACACCCACTGATTGTACAGTTCCCACTCACCCACTAACATCTCCTTGACACCCATGGACAGCTCCCATTCCTCCACACACAGCTGTTATATTGTTATATATGACCACGGACTAGACTGCTCAGTATCACACACACCCTCAGATGCTCCCCCCCTGCCACACACGCACACCCGCACACTCCCAAACTCCCAAAAACACACACACACATTGACATATTTTTCACACCCATTGTGTACCCAATTCAAAACTGTAGACTCAGATTTTCTCCTTTTCATTGACGTACAATCTGACCTCTGAAAGGTCTTCAGGGTGTTTTTGTTCGTCCACTTTTGAAATTGTTTAGAAGTTTTCTGTGAACCTGATTTGGATATAATGAAAAACGAAATTATTTCTTTTCCAGCTCTCTAGGAATGGGTGAAAGTTTGTTCGCAAAACTAGATAGTCAAGGGGCCACTTTTGAGTTGCACTTACAGTACAGAATGAACAGGTAGGCTAATATCTTCCTTTGAGCAAAATATCTTTTATGTCTGTAATTCTTATGTCTTGTCTCTTAGATTAGTTGTTACACGTATTTGGACTGGACGACAGGTAGTAACATTTTAGTGGGGATGTGCTGCGCCTGGATCAGAAAGTAATAAACTGAAAGAATGAAACATAAAGGCTTTACGAAGAGACTATCCTATTGTTGTAAAAATATTTGAAAGCAAATTATGTGTTGGAAGGATTCCATCCTCGCAAGTTTTCCACATATTTCACACTTTTTGTTTCGTTATAATTTCGTAATGTATATGTGCCTTTTGTTAGTTCGTAGAGTTGCTATATGTGAAGCAGCGTGGTGGAATCAGGCTCTAGTCAATTTTTGGGCATGTAGAGTTATTGGTATCATCTTAAAGCTTGTTCATTTGTTTTTATTAGGATTTTAGAAAATAACCATTTATCTTGAATACTAGTCGAGATATTTGTTTTCAGAGGTAAAATTAGAGAAAAAATGGCCGCCAAAGATTGTTATTTCCTTTGCTTAAGAGTCGATGGGTACATTTTTTGTGCTTTTAATCAACGTTTTTCAGAAAAATCCACTCAGAAATTAGTTCTGTAATGGGCATGAAAGGTGTTGAGCTAAAAAAACAAAAATTTGATAAAAATTCACAAACCCATGGAAAAATGCAAGTTTCTTCACTTTGATAATTTTGACGAGAGCCTGATTCCACCACGCTGCCTCACATATTATCTGTAAGGAGAGAGGGAGGGCGGGAGAAGGTTATTCGTTGATATGATGCCTTGCATTTATAACTTGTGTCAAAGAAGCTGGTGAAAACACAATGGTCAATAAAGTACAGTGGTCTCAACTTAACAACCCACTCTTGACATATAACAGAATTTTTGTCTATAATTTACCTGTCTAAGAACCTGTCTAAAATTAGAAATCTGAACCCCTCACACACACGCACGCACACACACACACACACACACACACACGCACGCACGCACACACACACACACACACACACACAAACACACACACAAACACTCACACCCCCTTCCCTCCCGGTTTGAGCTTAGGGCAATAAACGTTACCAAGCTGCTTCACCATGCCTTGTCTGTATCCCGATGACCTGGTTCTTAGGTGGAAACCACTGTTAATGTCTTCTTATCTGTCTTAAATACTGACAGAAAAATCATGGAGCTGAGCAACGATCTGGTATACAATGGAAAGCTCCAGTGTGGAAATGATGACGTTGCAGAGCAAAGACTTGACATTCCTCTTGTGGACAGCCTCAAAGTAAGTGCTTTTTTGGGCTAGGGGTATTTTTTTTTGGGGGGGGGGGGTGATTTTAAAAAAAATCCCTGCTTTTAGATCCAATTAAGTGAGCAGAAAAATGTGCCATCAAGCTGAACGAAAAGATTTGACCTTTCGTGTTTTCAAAGTATATATAGTTCTCTCTATGTTTGTTTGTTTGTTTGATTTGGGGGAGGGGAGATTTGCTTCGATTTTTTTACTTTATCAATTTTTCAAGATTGTTTCTGTTCTGACATAGCAGAAAAATATTATTTTGTGGTCTGAATATTTGACATTGAAACCCTTTGACAAAAAGATGGTTGATACATTTTGATGTCAAATAACATTACAATATACTTTTCAACTTCTCAAATTTGCATCTATAACAACAACTTCTCAAATGACCACTGTCTATTTTGTCTTCAATGGATCTTTTCATGTGGGCCTGCTCACCCTCTTATGTTGATACGTCTTAAGAGACACTCTCTTACTTCTGCTTCAGCATATCAAAATCGTGACAAATCAAGGCTTGAAATGGCAGGAAAAATCTTTTTTTGTTGACATCATTTCCTAGATTTGTCCGAGGGGTTCTATGAAATGTGACTTATGATGGCCTGGTAGGTCTGTGTCCTAGGAATGCCCCTTCAGATCACTTAATATTACCTCCAACACACTGGTCAAAATGTTGACCCTGGTGATACATTGAAGTTTTTTGTCTTTTACAGACCAAGCCAGAATGGATGCAGTCTGCTCTGAGCTGTGAAATGGAAAAGTCTGTTGTTTTCCTCAGTACAGATCGGGTGAGTTGTTCAATTTTGTTTCTCTAAAATGTCTACTTATAGGTTGTAGGCTTTGAATATGGGCGACTGAATTACTTACCTGTATTACCTGTCCTGGGCAACGACGTCATTGCACACCGGACAGGTCCATAAGTGCTCAGTTCCCCCCAGCACCAAAGCCCGCAAGGTATCCATACTGATTGTTCCGGTGGCTGTCTGATTATGCCAACGTCTTTCCCTTCCAGATAATCGTTCCTTTCTTCCTTCTCCCCTCTCTATCCCCATTTCCCGCATCCTAATGATTGTGTGGTGAATTACTTAACCCTACAGAGCCAAAGGCCAAGAACTCATTGCAGCACATCTTATCACTATCTTCTTGCTGCAGACAGAAAAATCTACATCATAACATGCTGAGGCATGCATTTGGTGTGCAGGAGGATAAAGGTTGTCATGCTTAACCGTACATTCAGATCCATCGGTTTGTGTCTATTACTTTGCTATATAAGTTCTTTGTTGTGTTCTCGGCACTAGAAGTTTTATTTAGATGCCTTGATGTGGTGTGCTTATTTTAACGTCTTTAGTGATACTATTGTTTTCACGTTTCTGGCGAAAGTGGGTGATTTTGTGCTGATTTGGTGTATGTATGTATATGTATATATAATATATATATATATA